CACAAAAGCGAAGTCTTCGGCATATTCAAAACTTGGCTAGCCGAGGTTGAACTCGAGACGGGTGCGACGCTGAAGGTCCTCCGAACCGACAACGGTGGCGAATACTGTTCGAGAGCGTTCACAGAGTTCTGCAAGACACGAGGCACCCGTCGACAATACTCTATCCCACGCACGCCTCAACAGAACGGTCGTGCAGAGCGGGTCAATCGTTCCATTGTCGAAGGCGTCCTTGCCCTCCTTGTCGACGCCCACCTACCCAAGACATTCTGGGAGGAGGCTGCAGCTTATTTCGTTTACTGCAAGAACCTGTGTCAACACGCGGCCCTGGACAAGGCAACACCAAACTCCGTCTGGCAGGGTGACCACACCACTGCCTCGGCGCTTCACCCGTTCGGCTGTACAGCTTGGCTTACGGTCGCGCCCGAACTTCGCTCCAAACTCGACCCGAAGGCGGTTCGCGTTTTTTTCACCGGCTACGACCTGGCTTCAAAAGCCTTTCGCTTCTACGACACTACAACACAGAAGATTATACTTGGCAGAAATGCCACGTTCCTCGACACTGAATTCCCCGGATTACATGGCGACCCCACTGAGCAAGACGGCGACACGCACTTCGCCAGCGCTCCCACCACCGAATCTCAAACCGTTGTCAAGACATGGACCCCACTAGTAAGGTCGGCGCACATGGACGTCTCATCCCCCCTTGATGATTCTGCCATGAGCGCCGTTGACGTGGCCCCAGGGTACACTGGCGGAACCTTACTTAACTTCACAGATGCCGAATCGTCCTCGTCACCGTCGCCTGCGTCGCCCTCATCACCGTCGTCTGCGCCATCGCCTGCACTTTCACCATCGTCGGCTGCGTCATCGTCACCCTCGGCCTTACCGACCGACTCTGAAGACTCCGCCGATCCCTCGACCTCCTCGGCTCACAGCCCCAGGTTCGCCTCGATCTACAGGACGTGCACCACCCAGACTTCAGCACGTACCGCGAGCCCGCATCGGCTGAGGAGTCGCCCGACGAACTCGACCTCATTGGGCGCCACTCTCGCGACGAATCTCCGGACGAAATCGATTTCCTCACCCGACACCACCGCGCCTTCATCGCCATCGACGACGACACCTCTGACACAGAGGCAATTCAGCCAGTCAAGTCCATCACGAGCGACCCACAGACCTGGCGCGAGCGATGTCTAGCGACAAGCGTGAAGTATGGGCCAAAGCCGCCACCGACGAGTTCACCTCCATGCGCGACGACTTCAAGGTCTTCACCATCGAGGACCGAGCCACGGTGCCCGCGGGTGCGACTATCGTTACATCCAAGTTCGTCTGGAAAACGAAACGGAACGCACTCGGCGAAGTCACTGGACACAAGGCAAGGCTGGTCGCGCAAGGCAATCGGCAACGCGACGGCATCGACTTCAACGAAACGTTCGCACCGGTCGCACGCTTCTCCTCGATACGCTCACTCCTCGCGCTGGCGGCCGCCAACGGCTTGCACGTGCACCAGGCGGACATCGACAAAGCATATCTGCATGGCGACCTTGACCACGACATCTGGATGACGGCACCGCGCGGCTTCGACCTTCCCAGCGACAAGGTGCTTCGCCTGCGACGCTCCATCTACGGGCTCAAACAGGCTGGCCGAATCTGGAATCGACACATCGACGCTTCGCTTCGGGCCCTCGGTTACACGGCGACGGGCACCGACCACTGCGTATACTCTTGGCTCGATGATCGTCAATGTCCACACTACATCGCACTGTACGTCGACGACCTCCTGATGATCAGCCCGGAACTGGCCGAAATCGAACGTGTCATCTCAGGCCTGGACCAACGCTACGGAGTCAAGCGCCTCGGCCCGGCCGAGTATATCCTCGGCATCCAGATCAGGCGGTTCGACGACGGCTCTATCGCCCTATCCCAGGAACGGTACATCATGGACGTGCTCGCTCGGTTCCACTTCGACACCACGACTCGCGGCACTACAGTTCCGATGACTCCCGGCCTTTCGCTCACTGCTATCCCGGGTCAAGGCACCGAACGGATCAGGTCATGGTATCTGCAGGCTATCGGCTCGCTCCTCTACATTTCGCTCGGTACCCGCCCTGACATCGCCTTCGCCGTGTCCTACCTGGCCCGCTTCGCCAACAACCCCGGTCGTCGTCATTGGATTGCGGTCAAGCACATCCTACGCTATCTCCGGGCCACGTATCGCAACGAACTCGTGTATGCTCGCGGCCAGGCTCGCATCACGGGTGTGGTAGGCTACTCCGACGCGAACTGGGGGGCCTGCATCGACACATCGGTGTCCACCATGGGCTACGTCTTCTACATCGCTGGCTCGGCCGTGTCCTGGTCGTCCAAACGCCAGTCTCGAGTTGCCGATTCGTGTGAGGAATCCACTCTCCGCTCGGCTCAGGACTTAGGCGCGCGGAGCGAACCGGGCGCGGACTTAGGCGCGCGGAGTGAGCCGGGCGCCCCGGCCCAGGACTTAGGCGCGCGAAGCGAGCCTGGGACTTAGGCGCGCGGAGCGAGCCTGGGCCATTGGCTCAGCCCCAGGCTCGCTGGCTGTGGACTTGGGGCGCGCGGGTCTCTTATTGTTAGCTTCCTATTCATCACTCTTGGCTATAACTACATCGCTGACGTAGTAGAGTTGATCGAATAGGTATGTTGAAATGCATTCATCACTCTTGGCTATAACTACATCGCTGACGTAGTAGAGTTGATCGAAACAGGTTATAAGCCCACGAGCTACCAGCCCCGCCGCTTGAGGCTTTTTCGCTCGAGCCCAGCCACTCGAGCCGCACACGTCCATCGCACCATCACATCATGGACAGCTCTCCCGCCTCGCCTTTGGCCCCCAGGGATCCCAGCTCCCCTGAATCTTCGATCGGCGAACAAATCGCCACTCTACAGGCCCAGCTTGCCGCTCTGCAGCCTCGCAACCCGCCGCCGCCGCAGCCGCCGCACCCCCGGCCGTCACCGTCGTGCCGGGGAACGCCGCCACCGCATCCAAGGTCGTGTTTCCCAAGCACGCTCGTCTGGACGGCCCCAAGTCGTTCACCAACTGGTTGCGTCAACTCCGTCTTGCACTCCCGAACCAGGTCGTGGTTACGTTCTCGACGGTGTCGTTCCCCCGACCTGGACCGCCGACCAGCTTGCCGCACGTGACGACGCCGCCCGGGAAATCATCGTTGGCTCTATCGACTCCGCCGACGTATCGGCCACCCTCGACGCCATCCCCAGCGACGACCTGTCGGCACCGCGCATCTTTGCCGCTCTCAAGGCTCGTTTTGCACCGGACGACGCTTACACGCACTCTCGAGTTGTTCGCTCGCCTTTGGGACTTCAGGAAGATGCCTGCCTCCGTCGAGGCCTACGACACTTGGCTACGCGAGTACATGTCGATTGCTCAGGAAATACGCCGACGCCAAAAACATCGCTCAACGACGTGCTCGCCACCCACGTGCTCGCCATGGTCCCGTCTTGCCTCGACAGCTTCCGACTCACGTTCACGGACGAGCAGCGAAACCGACGCGACCTTCCCGAACTCACGACGCTTACGGACCGCATTCGCATCCAGCTTCGTTCGGCAGGACTCTCGACCTCGCATTCGGCCATGCTTGCCACCAGCTCCCCCTGCCCCGCCTGCCGCGCTCCCGGTCACCGCCTGCGCGACTGCACTTCACGTGCGAAGCACCCGCCCACCGGCCCCTGCCGCCGATGCCACAAGAAAGGTCACTGGGCACTCGACTGCAAGAACCGGGGTGAACAGGCACGTAGCAGCGACGACACCCAGGACGACACGTCTTCCTCCGCGGCCTCGCAACCGAACGTCGGCTATTTCGCCTCCTGCCTCTTCGCTCGTCGCCAACTCCCAACTGACGCCTTTGTAGTCGATTCGGTGCCACGACACACATGGTCGCCGACCGATCTCTATTCACGACTTATCGTCAGACGGCACACACCAAGATCGGCGGCATCGCGGGCGGCATCACGGCTATCGGCATGGGGGACGTGGCATTCGTCGCCAAGACTGGACACCCGATCACGCTCCGTGGTGTTCTTCACACGCCTGGCCTACACGTCAACCTCCTCTCTGTCTCTCGCCTCTGCGACACCGACCGCGTTCGTCTCGCCTTCACCAGCGACGGCATCGACATCGCCAAGGACGGCCGGGCCATTGCTCACGGTACCAGGGTCAACGACGGTCTTTACCTTTTGGACGCGGATCACACCAAGTGTCAGCATCTTGCCTTCCTCTCACGCTCTGAGTCTCCCGTGCCCCTGCTTACCCTACACCGCTGCCTCGGCCATCTTGCCCCATCCTCTATACAGAAGATGATTGCTGCAGGTTTGCTGGACGGGTTTGGGGCCGGGTACAGTGACAAAGACGTAGAGGAGTTTGTTTGCAATGCTTGCCTTGGTTCCAAAGGTCACCGCCTTCCCTTTCCCGACTCTGAGTCGCATTCCGCCGAGAGACTTGGCCTCGTGCACAGCGACGTCCTGTCGTTCCCCACTCCGTCCTTGACCGGGAAGCGCTACCTTGTCACGTTTCTAGACGACCACTCTCGCAAACTCTGGGCATATGCGATCGATCACAAAAGCGATGTTTTCCCGACCTTCCAGACTTGGCTCGCCGAAGTGGAGTTAGAGACGAACGCGCGGTTGAGGATCCTTCGAACCGACAATGGCGGGGAGTATGAGATGATCACCACTACTGTCAGGAGAAGTCGAGAGTCGAACAGAAGTGATCTATTTCAGCGTACCTATGAGATGATCACCACTACTGTCAGGAGAAGTCGAGAGTCGAACAGAAGTGATGAGAAGGAAGCTAAGAAATGGAAAGGTGGCCCGCGCTGGGATATGCCCAGGCGCGGGCGAAATCGCTGGAGCGCTGAGGCAGTCGCGCGCGGCTAAGTCCCCACTGCAAGGGCGGGCTAGCGGCGCGCGCCCGAAAACCGCCGGCGCCGGCGCGCTGAGGCACTCGCGCGCGCCTAAGTCCCCACCACAGGGGCCAGGCTAGCAGGCGCGCGCAACGACCGAGGCGCCCCTGTCGAGCTGAGAGTGGACTCTTCACACCCCCCCCCACGCGAATGCGAGGCAGATCCAAGCCGTGGGTGTCGAGTGCGAAGGCCTAGTGCGTAGCAGTGTGTCGAGAAAATCTTTGGGCCAAGAGCCTTTGTGAAGATGTCGGCCACCATGTTGCTGGTTCCCACATGCGAGAGTGAGATATCGCCCCGATTCACCATGTCCCGAACAAAGTGCTCGCGCAAGCGTATGTGTCGAGTGCCGGAGACGCGGACAGGGTCGTGGGCAACTGCGGCAGCGGCTTCATTGTCAGTAAAAATGTGAGCCGGTGCAACAGGTTGGACATGGAGCTCCTCGAGCAGCTGACTGAGGTAGATCCCTTCCTTGCCAGCATGCGAGAGGGCGAGGTATTCAGCGTCGGTGTAGAATCGGCAACTCGAGATTGACGCTTGGACGACCAGACACGGCGGATCCGGCAATGTAGAAGACGTAGCCCATAGTGGACACCGACGTATCGACGCAGGCCCCCCAGTTCGCGTCGGAGTAGCCAACCACGCCCGTGATGCGTGTCTCGCCGCAAGCATAAACCAGTTCGTCGCGATATGTGGCCCGGAGATAGCGGAGGATGTGCTTGACCGCGATCCAGTGACGACGTCCAGGGTTGTTGGCGAAGCGGGCCAGGTAGGACACGGCGAAGGCGATGTCGGGGCGGGTGCCGAGCGAAATGTAGAGGAGCGAGCCGATAGCCTGCAGATACCATGACCTGATCCGTTCGGTGCCTTGACCCGGGATGGCGGTGAGCGAAAGGCCGGGGGTCATCGGGACTGTAGTGCCGCGAGTCGTGGTGTCGAAGTGGAACCGAGCAAGCACGTCCATGATGTACCGTTCCTGGGACAGGGCAATAGAACCGTCTTCGAGTCGCCTGATCTGGATGCCGAGGATGTACTCTGCCGGGCCGAGGCGCTTGACGCCGTAGCGTTGTTCGAGGCCCGAGATGACACGTTCAATTTCGGCCAAGTCGGGGCTGATCATCAGGAGGTCGTCGACGTACAGCGCGATGTAGTGTGGGCGTCGCCGATCGTCGATCCGAGAGTACACGCAGTGGTCGGTGCCCGTCGCCGTATAGCCGAGATCTCGAAGCGATGCGTCGATGTGTCGATTCCAGATTCGGCCAGCCTGTTTGAGTCCGTAGATGGAGCGTCGCAGACGAAGCACCTTGTCGGTGGGAAGGTCGAAGCCGCGCGGTGTCGTCATCCAGATGTCATGGTCAAGGTCGCCATGCAGATAGGCTTTGTCGATGTCCGCCTGGTGCACGTGCAAGCCGTTGGCGGCCGCCAGCGCGAGGAGTGAGCGTATCGAGGAGAAGCGTGCGACTGGTGCGAAGGTTTCGTTGAAGTCGATGCCGTCGCGTTGCCGATTTCCCTGCGCCACGAGCCGTGCCTTGTGGCCGGTGACTTCGCCGAGTGCATTCCGTTTCGTTTTCCAGACGAACTTGGATGTGACGATGGTCGCACCCGCTGGTACCGTGGATCGGTCCTCGATGGTGAAGACCTTGAAGTCGTCGCGCATGGAATTGAACTCGTCGGTAGCGGCCTTGGCCCACACTTCGCGCTTGTCACTCGACATTGCCTCGCGCCATGTCTGTGGGTCGCTGGTGATGGACTTGACTGGTTGAATGGCTTCTGTGTCAGAGTTGTCGTCGTCGGTGGCGATGAAGGCGCGGTGGTGTTGGGTGAGGAAATCGATTTCGTCCGGCGATTCATCGCGCGAGTGGCGCCCAATGATGTCGAGTTCGTCGGGCGACTCCTCAGCCGATGCGGGCTCACGGTACGTGCTGAAGTCTGGGCGGTGCACGTCCGGTGGCCGAGGCGAGTCGGGGTCTGTGAGCCGATGAGGTCCAGAGGGTCGGCGGAGTAGTCAGAGTCGGTCGGTAAGGCCGAGGGTGACGATGACGCAGCCAACGACGGTGACAGCGCAGGCGACGGTGACAAGGGAGTTGCGGGCGACGGTGACGAGGACGGCTCAGGAGACGGTGACGAGGACGATTCGGCATCTGTGGAATTAAGTAAGGTTCCGCCAGTGTACCCTGGGGCCACGTCAACGGCGCTCATGGCAGAGTCATCAAGAGAGGATGAGACGTCCATGTGCGCCGACCTTACTAGTGGGGTCCATGTCTTGACAACGGCTTGGGATTCGGTGGTCGGGCAAGCGCTGGCGAAGTGCGTGTCGGCGTCTTGCTCGGTGGAGTCGCTACGTAACCCGGGAAATTCGTTGTCGAGGAACCTGGCATTTCTGCCCAACTGATCTTCTTGGTCGTCGTGTCGTAGAAACGGAAGGCTTTAGAAGCCAGGTCATAGCCGGTGAAGAGAACGCGAACCGCTTTCGGGTCGAGTTTCGAGCGAAGTTCAGGCGCGACTGTGAGCCAAGCCGTGCAGCCGAACGGGTGAAGCGCCGAGGCGTTGGTGCGGTCGCCCTGCCAGGCGAAGTTCGGTGTTGCCTTGTCCAGGGCCGAGTGTTCGCACAGGTTCTTGCAGTAGACGAAATAAGCTGCTGCCTCCTCCCAGAATGATTTGGGTAAGTGGGCGTCTGCAAGGAGGGCAAGGACACCTTCGACGATAGAACGATTGACTCGTTCGGCACGACCGTTCTGTTGAGGCGTTCGAGGGATAGAGTATTGTCGACGTGTGCCGCGTGCCTTACAGAATTCCGTGAACGCTTTCGAACAGTATTCGCCACCATTGTCGGTTCGGAGGACCTTCAGTTTTGCATCCGTCTCGAGTTCGACCTCGGCAAGCCATGTCTTGAACACGCCAAAGACTTCGCTTTTGTGTCCGATCGCGTATGCCCACAGTTTGCGCGAGAAGTCGTCAAGAAACGTGACCAGGTAACGCTTGCCAGTCAAGGACGACTCGGGAAAGGAAAGCACATCGCTGTGTACGAGGCCGAGTCTTCTGAGGAGTGCGAGTCCGAATCGGGAAAAGGAAGACGATGGCCCTTTGCACTGAGGCAAGCATTGCAGACAAACTTCTCTACCTCTTCGTCACTATATCCGGCCCCGAGACCTTCCAGCAAACCAGCGGCAACCATCTTCTGTATGGACGACGGTGCGAGATGGCCGAGGCAGCGGTGAAGGGTCAGCAGGGGCACGGAAGACTGTGAGCGAGAGAGGAGAGCGAGATGCTGACATTTGGAATGATCAGCGTCCAGCAAGTAGAGCCCTTCCTCGAGTCTTGCGCCTTCAGCGATAGCATTGCCGTTCTTGTCGATATGGATGCCGTGCTTCGTGAAGGCGACACGGACATCGTCGGTGTCGCAAAGTCGAGAGACCGAGAGGAGGTTGACAGACAGGCCCGGGGTGTGCAGCACGCCGGTAAGCGTGATCGGGTGACCGGAGGCGGCAACAAAGGCGATGTTTCCCGTTCCGACGGCGTTGATGCCCCCTGCAATACCACCAATCTTCGTAGGAGCGATGTGGCGATAGGCCGTGAACAGCGACTTGTCCGAGACCATGTGCGAAGTGGCACCCGAGTCGACGACGAAGGAGTTGTTGCGAAGCTGACGACGATGTGCGAGAAGACCGGTGGCGAGACATCCGACATGGTGTTGCGCATCAGAGGTGTCGGGCGTTTTCCCGTCCTCAAGAGCCTTTTTGCAGTCGAAAGACCAGTGGTCCTTTTTCTTGCAGGAGCGACACGGGCCTGGCGGTGGATGCTGGGCCCTTGTAGGGCATTGTGCGACGCGGTGAGAAGGGCTGCGACAGGCGAGGCACTTGGTACGGGTAGAACGTGGCGACGACGAGGCAAGGAGGGCCGATTGATCGTTGGAGAGGTTCGTTGACCGGAGTTGAACTCGCATACGGTCGGCCACTGAATCGATGTCAGGGAGAGTTCGTTGCGTGCGTTGTTCGTCGGTGAACGTTGCCTTGAAGCTCTCGAGTGACGGGTGGGCGATCGCGAGGAGGAGTGTGGCAAGGACGTCGTTGATCGTCGTTTTCGTATCGATGATCTCTTGCGCGACCGACTTGAAGTCCATGATCCAACTGTCAAATTCGCCAACCGTTCCGGGCATGGGTCGGAAGCCCCAGAGTCGCGAGAAGAGCTCGAGCGTGCGAGTGGCGTCATCAGGGGCGTATCGCGATTTCAGCGTCGAGTAAATCTTGGGCGCTGTGAGGTCGGCCGTAGGGATCTTGTCGAGGACTGCCGAGACTTCGGCCGAGTCGATTGAGTTTGCAAGGATCTCGCGTGCCACGACGTCGCGGGCGGAGCGTTGCGAAGGCGTCCAATCGTCGGGGGTGATTCCGTCGAGGACGTAGGAGCGGATGTCGTCCGCTAGGCACAGGCGAAGCTGGCGTGTCCAGTTCGCGAACGTCTTCGGCCCGTCCAACCGCGCATGCTTCGGGAAGGCATTGCGATTGGAGCCGGATGTCGTGGCGGGTGCGGTAGTGCCGGAAGCGGCAGCGGTGAGTCCCGACAGCAGCGATGTAAGTGCGGCAAGCTGTTCGGCGGGAATTGTCGGGTTGGCGCTCGTCGCGAGGGTTGACGACGTGTCCATGCCAGCGGTAGCTCGATGGGCTTATAACCTATGAGATGATCACCACTACTGTCAGGAGAAGTCGAGAGTCGAACAGAAGTGATCTATTTCAGCGTACCTATGAGATGATCACCACTACTGTCAGGAGAAGTCGAGAGTCGAACAGAAGTGATGAGAAGGAAGCTAAGAAATGGAAAGGTGGCCCGCGCTGGGATATGCCCAGGCGCGGGCGAAATCGCTGGAGCGCTGAGGCAGTCGCGCGCGGCTAAGTCCCCACTGCAAGGGCGGGCTAGCGGCGCGCGCCCGAAAACCGCCGGCGCCGGCGCGCTGAGGCACTCGCGCGCGCCTAAGTCCCCACCACAGGGGCCAGGCTAGCAGGCGCGCGCAACGACCGAGGCGCCCCTGTCGAGCTGAGAGTGGACTCTTCACAGGGAGTACCGATCAAACGCATTCACGGAGTTCTGCAAATCCAAGGGCATTCGTCGTCAATACTCTATCCCTTACACGCCTCAACAAAACGGTCGCGCCGAACGTGTCAACCTCTCCATCGTCGAGGGCGTCCTCGCTCTCCTTGCGGACGCCCGTCTGCCGGCCACCTTTTGGGATGAAGCGGCTGCGTATTTCGTTTATTGCAAAAACAGGTGCTCACACTCAGCTTTGGCCAAACAGACTCCAGAATCCGTTTGGAACGGCCAACGCACCACCGCCACCGCCCTCCACCCGTTCGGCTGCACAGCCTGGCTCACGGTCGCCCCGGACCTTCGCAGCAAGCTCGACCCCAAGGCCGCGCGCGTGATCTTCACAGGTTACGACCTCGCCTCCAAAGCTTTCCGTTTCTTTGACCATTCCATCAACAAGATTGTACTTGGTCGCAATGCCACCTTCCTCGACGACGACTTCCCCGGCCTGCCAGTCACCACGCCCGTCGATGCAGACGACACCGACCGTCAGTTCGTCGTTCCCGCCGACACGCCCGCCCCTGCCGTCAAGACGAGGACCCCACTAGTAAGGTCGGCGCACATGGACGTCTCATCCTCCCTTGATGATTCTGCCATGAGCGCCGTTGACGTGGCCCCAGGGTACACTGGCGGAACCTTACTTAATTCCACAGATACCGAATCGTCCTCGTCACCGTCTCCTGAGCCGTCCTCGTCACCGTCGCCCACAAACCCTTTGTCACCGTCGCCTGCGCTGTCACCGTCGTTGGCAGCGTCATCGTCACCCTCGGTCTCACCGACCGACTCTGACTACTCCGCCGACCCTCTGGACCTCATCGGCTCACAGACCCCGACTCGCCTTGGCCCACCGGACGTGCACCGCCCAGACTTCAGCACGTACCGTGAGCCCGCATCGGCTGAGGAGTCGCCCGACGAACTCGACATCATTGGGCGTCACTCGCGCGATGAATCGCCGGATGAAATCGATTTCCTCACCCAACAACACCGCGCCTTCATCGCCACAGACGACGACGACTGGCAGGCAACGTCCTCTTCAGAAGACGTTGACTACACGCGGAGGAGGGGATCAGGCCGAAGGAAGGTCGACTGGGCGGGGGCAGGCGACCGAGGGACAACCGAGGAGGGGACGCGGTTGTGAGGCTCGCAGCAAGTCAAGTATATCGGACTTTATTGCCAACGAGATCGAAAACGAAGGATGAAGGTGAAGGGATCTTGGGAGATGTAGCGGACCAGGCTGAGTGGGAAGGTGCTAAAAACAAAAGGGAGGCACTCAGGCGCAGAGGGGACTTAGCCAATTCAGCTACTCCAAGAGGTCGCCTCAGGGGGAAAAAGGATTGCTCGCGGGAGCACCGGTAAAAACCCTGAGGCCGCGCCTCAGCTAACAAAAAGAACAAAAACCGAGAGAAGATTGCGCTCTGCGCGCCTTGAACCCGCGACCATTAAGTGCGCGCCCGCGCGCCGAACGACTACGCCATCACGCCCACAATGCTTGAATGGAGGGAAGCATTTGGTGACCTCAACTCTACCTGCACATTACCTCAGGGACTTCCTTCGAGTGTTGCTGTCAGTGTATCGCTGTTTGCCTGACATTGTCCCCCCCAGAAGGAAGTCTACCGGGAGGACAGGCGGCGATTTGAGCGATCGAGTTGTGCCAGGTAGGCGTCGAGTAGGGATGGATGGTCGAAGCGGAGGGACTGCTCTGACATCCAAGTGTCATCGATGTCCTTACGGCCAATCCATCGAACCAAGAACGAACGATTGCCCCGAGCGTTCCGACGATCGCGAACAATCCGTTCCGGAATGGCGGAGTTGTCGGCCGCGTCGGCTACATCTTCAACAAAAAGAACTGCGGGGTCACGCCCAGGGAACCTCTCAGCATCGTTCTCAACATAGGGGCGAAGCAGTCGAGCATGGAAGCGACTGTGCACTCGCGACATTGCTGGGGGAAGCTCGAGGTCGTAACTGGACGTCGCTGGAATGGCCGCTCGGATACGGAAAGGACCAATGTAGCGCGGCAACAACTTCGACTTCATCCCTTCAGGAACTGCCAGGTTCTTGGTCGAAAGATAGACATAACTGCCGGTCCGAAAGGCGGGATCATCCGGGCGTCGATGCTTGTTGGCCTGGTGAGTCTGATCGAGGCGTGCACCAATGATCGCATCCGTGACGTCGAGATTCCGTAACTGTCGGATTCGGGCAAACGCTTCCGCACGCGGGACGTCCGAGACAGACCAGGAATCGGTGGGCCAGCGTCGAGGAAGGTAACCGTAAGTCGCCTCGAAAGCCGACAGAGACGTGGAAACAGCAACGGAAGAGTTAAGAGCGAACTCAGCTTCAACAAGACGAGATGCCCAAGCCTCGTGGTTTGACGACACCATGATGCGCAGGGTTTGGGTGACCATCTTGATTCGGTTCTCACTCGATCCGTCGGTCTCTGGGTGCGCCGCTGTTGACATCCGCAAGACGGTGCCGACCTTCGCCTGCAATGCTCGCCAAAACTGCGAGGTGAACTTGGGATCGCGATCGGAAACGATGGCGGAAGGCGTCCCATGCAGTCGAAAGATGGTGGCGTAGTACCTGTCGGCAACGAGCTCGGAGTCGGCGTCGGCTGGGAGGGGAATCAGGTGGACCATCTTGCCCCAAGTGTCAGTGACCACCATGATTTGAGCGACCATCATCCCTTCGAACTCGACCGGAGGCAGTCCCGTCATGAAGTCGATGGCCACTTGTTCCCATGGGCCAGAAGGGATCGGCATCGGATGCAGTCGGCCATAAGGGACTTGAGTGGACGCTTTGCCTCGGGCACAATCTTCGCATGAATGGCAGAACTTGGCGCAATCGGCAGACATGGACGACCACCAATACAAAGGACGTATGGCGGCCAAGGTGATGCGATGTCCCGCGTGCCCGACGCTCCGATGGATCTCCGAAAGCACGAGCTCGCGCAGCGATGGGAGCTTGTCGGAGTCGACAACGCCGGTAGCGAGACCGCGAGGCACAAACAGGGAAAGAGACTCATCTGGATGTACACGCAAGATCCTCCCTTCCTCGGTCACCCGAAACATCGGCCATGACAGCGGGTCGTCAACAATGACTTGGGCTTGCGAATCGTGGGCGTAGGCTCGGATGACGGCGTCGAGGAAAGGTTGCGGCAGCGGGTCGGGCGGTCGATGGACTACAGGGGCGTCGTTGACCTCATCGGCGGCGGCTCCCAGTAAGTCGAGTTCATCGGCGTCGGCATCGACTGGAATGGGCGCGTCGTTGGCGGGGGCCGCGGCGATAGCATGAACTCGATTGACGGCGATGGGAGGAGAAAGGGGACCGGTAGAAGAGTCGACGGCGTCCATAATGTTCTCGGCCAGACGATGGGAACCGGGAGAGCCTGCGTCGTAGCCGTGATCCCAGGGCCCGAAGGCACAATCAACAGGGGGCAACCGATCGTGCGAAGGTGAGGTGTAAGGACGTTCCTCAGGGAGGCTCTCACCAGGTGTAGTGAACTCGTGGCATTCTTCCTTCAAGAACAAATTCCCTAAATCCCGTCCATTCACGTCCTCGTCTTGCGATTCGTCCTTGAGCGCGTAGTATCCGGGAGAGCCTGCCTCGCAATCGTCGCGTTGGGGCCCGAAGGCAAAATCAACAGGAGGCAACCGATCGGGAGATGGTGAGGTGTAAGGACGTTCCTCAGGGAGGCTCTCACCGTGTGTAGTGAATCCGTGGCGTTCTCCATCAAAGAACATATCCTCCAACTCATTCTCCTTGACCTGATCCTCGGGCGATCCCTCCTTGACTTCCCACAAGCGTGACAACGAATCGGCAAGGGAGTTGTTCTTGCCCGCAATGAATTCGAATTCGAAGTCGAAACGGCTGAGTTCGAGACACATGCGGATGTGCCGGGGTGTTTGGCGTAACTTCTGCGTTTTAATCGTGCGAAGGGCTTGGTGGTCGGTGACGATGACGAAGGGGTAACCGATCAAGTGCTGCTCGAACGCCCGACACGCCGAAACGACGGCTAAGAACTCCTTATCAGTGACGTGATAATTGAGCTGAGCGCCATTGAACTTAGCGGAGAAGAATCGCGTAGGAATGGCCTGCGAACGAGTGGGGCCCGAGGCCAGGCAAGCGCCAATGCCAACACGACTGGCATCGGTGAACAAGTAGATTTTGTGCTCGCCGGAGGTGACCTTAGCGCCGTCGATCGGTCGCAGTGTTGCTGGCACGAGGGACTTGACGGTGTCGAAGGCCTGCTGCTCGCGCTCGTTCCAACGCCACGACGTCGATTGCGCTAATAATGCGGTGATGGGCTCCAAGGTGATCGAGAGGTGGGGCAGGTGATCTCGCATCCAATTCACGGTGCCGAGGAAACGCTGAACGTCGGTCTTGTTGTGTGGAGTCGGCCACTGTCGGATACGCTCCCACTTGGCCGGGTCGACCTCGATGCCGTCGTCGGAGATGATCGCGCCCAAGGAATCTAACGACTTTGAGAACCACTCGGATTTGTTGGATCCTAAGTAGAACCGATAATGTCGCAGTGTCATCAGCAAAATCTCGATGTGTCTTAAGTGCGCGCGACGAGTATCGGAATGGACGTGTATGAAGGAACAATATACCACTGCACCAAAAGGCGAGGCACCTCTACTTCAGTGAGCGCATATTGTCCTAGAAGTGAGATGGAGCGAAGTTCAACACCCCCCTGTGCGCGAAGCTGAAGAGCTTGTGGCAGTGGGTGCGGCTTGTGAGGCAACTGGGCATGTTGATCAGGTCGCTTGGGCAAGTGCAGCTTGGGCACTGTGAGCACTGTCGATGCGCCAGGGTGCTTGGCACGCTGCTGGGCAAGTGCGGGGGCCGGGACGCTGAGTGTATGCGCGCAAAATTGCCTGACCCCAGGGGGGATTGAACTCATGACCTGCTGGTTGCTCTGGGCTCATAACCTATGAAGGAACAATATACCACTGCACCAAAAGGCGAGGCACCTCTACTTCAGTGAGCGCATATTGTCCTAGAAGTGAGATGGAGCGAAGTTCAACAACGTGAACATCGTCGAAAAAGATCTTGGCAAACGAGAGGCACGGCTGAAACATCGCCGATGTCAACAAGTTCAGGGTGTTGGGCGCATTGGTGTCCCCAAACTGCATCACCCGCGACGTGTACGTGCCCGTGACCGTGGCGAAGCCGGTGCGATCGACGTGCTCGGGTATGACCCGCACCTGCTCAAACGCTGCGGCCACGTCGAATTTGGACCGGTAGCGCGAACGTGCCACTTCGTAGCGAACACTGGTCATGTCGGGGATAGGTGAAAAACGCTTGGCGGTGTTGCTGTTGCGAGCGCGGAGGTCGATCACAAAGCGAGCGGTCTGGGAGTTCTTTTTCGGAATGGCGAAGACCGGAGCCGCAGAGTCGATCGGACCAGAAACCCAGAAGCGACCGCGAGTGTACTTAGCTGAATGCTCCGCCCACTGGCTACGATATTTGTCGGCAAGGGGATAGACCCTCGGCTTGACCTTCTCGTTGGGGTCGATCAAAGGGATTTCGTGATTGACGGGTCGATAAGGCGGGAGTCGGTCCATTGGGAGCGAATCTACGAACACATCAGAGTATTTCTCGAGTAAGGCAGCCAATCGTGTTCGTGCTTCGGACTCAGACAAATCCTCGAGCGCCGGGTCGTCGACGACATCCAGTAGAGGGTTGTGCGGCTCGAGGCCAATGATCTCGTCGTCAGGAAGCAACCCTGGGTGATCGTAGCCAATGGCAGAGCCGGAGCAGATGGGCGCCACCGTGACTGCGCGATCCCACTCGTGAGTGCCCTTGGCGACCGGCTGCGAAGGGCCCGGCCGTGCGACGGTGAAGACGCCCCAGCCTACCAGCATGCCGGTGTCCTTCAGAAACGGCAAACCCAGGATAGCATCATATGCCGTCACACGGCAAATGAAAAACGCCCGCAAGCCGAGGTCGAGGGAACCGGACGTGAAGAGGGCGTTGGCAAACACGGCGCAGCGGTCAGATTTGTCGCGAGTGCCGAGGCGCAAGTGCAGCGGCGCGGTAAGGCGGGACGTCGTGAAACTCGGGTCTGTTCGCACGACATCCTGATCCACCAAGTCCACTTCCGAACCAGAGTCGACGAGGCAACGCAGCGTTCGCCCAGACGGCAACGTCCACGCAATAATATTGCGGGCGCGCACAATCGCGGGCTCGGCGGGTCGGGCGAAGTCGTCGACGTCGATCAGGGGCGTGTCGGACTCCAAGAGAGAAACCCCCAACGGCACCGGAACACGAACAGAGCTCACCGATGCAGTCCTCTCCGCTTTGCGCGACGACACCACCTCCGGCCCCCAGTATCGCCGCATTCGCGACGCGGCATCAGCATAAGAGGGGACGTCTTCCACCGCGTCAAACGCAGAGTCGGTCGAGTCATCGGCAAGACGACGTAGATCTGCATCACTTGCCGGCGCGGTTGGCTGCGGATTACTTGATGAGACTTCGACGTCGACTGAAGAAGAAGCCCCTTCTTTCATTCGGCCAACGGGGTCTGCGGGAGGGCAAGAAGGGCGCGTCATTGAAGCGGAAACGGAACTCAAAGGTCGAGTCTGAACACGCTCGAGTGAAATGGGGACTCTCACCTCGGGATCCTCGTCACCACCTGCGACCGAGGACCAATCTTCGTCATCCAAGTCGGCCACAGCGACCGCTGAGAGTTGGACGGCGACCGGGGATTGACGCTCCGCGGTGCAGTGCTGCGAGAAATGACCGCCTCGTCCGCAGTTGAAGCAAGCCATGCTGGTGGGTACCCCGCTGGGCGCCGGGGAAAACCAGGTGGAGCGGTCCTTCCACAAGTGCGATTGCTGCCACTTAGTAGCGCGGTCGACCCATCGAGCTCGTCGGATCGGGAACCTCTCGTCGACGGTGGGCGTGTTGGTCGCAGGTGGGCTCACTCGGGGAGCTTTGACGATCGCGCCATAGGTCGCGGTGCGGCTTGGTGGGGTCGGAACCGAAGGCGGAGGAGAAATGTCGTCGGCGATAGCGGCCCACTCGGTAATCTCGTCGATGGACGGGACCTTCAGTCCGAATCGCCCAATTGTCACCAGCGAGTTGTCGTGGTATTCACGTAACATTCCCGCCCGCACTTCCCGCTTGGAGGAGTCACTGAGCGATTGGTAGAAGGTCGTGGCGAGCTGAAGCGGCGACAGGGTGAAACTATCGTTGTCGTGCACGAAGGCACGGTACCGCGCCCGCCACTCCCCGACATGGTCGTAAGCCCGAGACGACGACTGGCGACATCCGTGGAAGTCTTGAGCCACTCTATCGGCGAACCCGGGGTCGGGCCAACGACGTCCCACTGCCTTCATGAGCGACGTCCAACAATGAGGGCGCCCTTCTCCAAGCGCGTCCCTCATCGCCTCGACGGCCCAATCGAGCGGGGATTGGCGGCGCTGTCGGGTTGTCGTACGAAAAAATAGCGTCGCCACAAGCTGGATCACTCGGCTCGTGTCGAAAAGGTCGGAGGTGGAGATGTCGCACAAGAGAGAAAGATACGACTCCCCAAACGCAGTGAAAATCACCAACCTTTCCGGATGATCTCCGGTCCATAACCCTTCCCGGTCCGGCAATGTCCCTCTCCAACGAGAGCTAATCACCGCCGAGGAAGGGCCGTCCCTAATTCCGCTGTGAGATTCCCCCCCAGGGGTACGAGCAAGGGGGTCAGCGGCAGCTCCCGGGCGTCCCAAAAATGTGTGCGGGGGGACGTCCAGGGGGACCGGTCTCACCGGCAGAGCCTCCCCGACCTGCGCCCCAGCAGGTGCGGTGGATTCTCTCATCAATCGTTCCACCATCTGCTCCAATTTGCGGATGCGTGTCTCCGAGTCGCGGCGCAGGGCTTCCGATTCTGCGAGGCGGGATTCAAGGGACGTGATGACGGCGGCGGCCTGGAGCGGGTGCGGCGAATGCGTCGGCGGGGACTTAGGCGGATTCGCGCGCGAGGGGTCTTCGCGGACGGGGGCGGTGGTGTCTCGCGACGTGTCGGTGGGTTCGGCCATGGCGAGTTCGCGGCGTAGCGGTTGGCGGTTGTGGGGAGAACGGATGCGAGCTCGAGAAGGATGGAAGAAGGGGTACGAAGGGATGACGCGTTCGTCGTCGGACTCAGTGAATGAGGTGGCGAATGACCACGACGCGTCAGCGGGGGATGAGTTCGGCAACGGGGAGGAAGCTGACGACTCAGGGGTAGTGGACGATTGCTCGTCCAGGATGCAGGATAGAGCAAGGGCAAGCGAGATCGAAGGTTGGCGGTGCCGGACTTGAAAAAAGTGGCAGGCAACGTCCTCTTCAGAAGACGTTGACTACACGCGGAGGAGGGGATCAGGCCGAAGGAAGGTCGACTGGGCGGGGGCAGGCGACCGAGGGACAACCGAGGAGGGGACGCGGTTGTGAGGCTCGCAGCAAGTCAAGTATATCGGACTTTATTGCCAACGAGATCGAAAACGAAGGATGAAGGTGAAGGGATCTTGGGAGATGTAGCGGACCAGGCTGAGTGGGAAGGTGCTAAAAACAAAAGGGAGGCACTCAGGCGCAGAGGGGACTTAGCCAATTCAGCTACTCCAAGAGGTCGCCTCAGGGGGAAAAAGGATTGCTCGCGGGAGCACCGGTAAAAACCCTGAGGCCGCGCCTCAGCTAACAAAAAGAACAAAAACCGAGAGAAGATTGCGCTCTGCGCGCCTTGAACCCGCGACCATTAAGTGCGCGCCCGCGCGCCGAACGACTACGCCATCACGCCCACAATGCTTGAATGGAGGGAAGCATTTGGTGACCTCAACTCTACCTGCACATTACCTCAGGGACTTCCTTCGAGTGTTGCTGTCAGTGTATCGCTGTTTGCCTGACAACGACCCCACCCTCGACGCCATCGAGCCCGTCAAATCGATCACTAGCGACCCCCAGACCTGGCGCGAAGCAATGTCCAGCGACGAGCACAACATCTGGGCTGAGGCCGCCGCCGCCGAGTTCACCGCCATGCGCGACGACTTCAAGGTGTTCACCATCGAGCCTCGCTCATCTGTACCGCCGGGCGCCACCATCGTCACCTCCAAATTCGTCTGGAAGACCAAGCGCAACGCAAGCGGTGAAGTCACGGGGCGGAAGGCACGTCTTGTAGCGCAGGGTAACCGACAGCGCGACGGCATCGACTTCTCAGAAACCTTCGCACCCGTCGCCCGTTTCTCCTCCATTCGCTGCCTCCTGGCTCTTGCCGCTGCCAATGGCTACCACGTTCATCAGGCCGACATCGACAAGGCTTACCTCCACGGCGAGCTCGATCATGATATCTGGATGACGACACCACGCGGTTTCGACTTCCCGAGCGATAAGGTTCTCCGGCTGCGACGCTCAATCTACGGTCTCAAGCAGGCCGGTCGCATCTGGAATCGTCACATTGACACATCACTCAGGAATCTGGGGTACAAGGCAACAGGCACTGATCACTGCATTTACTCTCGCATTGACGATCAGCAGCGGCCTCACTATATCGCCTTGTATGTCGACGACCTCCTCATTGTCAGTCCAGCCCTCGACGAGATCGAACGTGTCATCTCCGGCCTTGAACAGCGGTACGGCGTCAAACGACTCGGCCCCGCGGAGTACATCCTCGGAATCCAAATACGCCGCCTGGACGACGGTTCCATTGCTCTATCCCAGGAGCGCTACATCATGGACGTGCTGGCCCGTTTCCACTTCGACACCACGACACGCGGCACTACGGTGCCGATGACGCCCGGCCTCTCGCTCACGGCAATTCCGGGTCAGGGAACGGAGCGCATTCGTTCGTGGTACCTACAGGCCATCGGCTCCCTCCTCTACATCTCCCTTGGCACTCGACCCGACATTGCCTTCGCCGTCTCGTACCTGTCCCGGTTCGCCAACAACCCCGGCCGCCGCCATTGGATTGCCGTCAAACACGTCCTTCGCTACCTTCGCGCCACGTACCGCGATGAGCTTCTCTATGCCCGCGGCCCAGCAAAAGTCACGGGTGTGGTTGGTTATTCTGATGCGAACTGGGGCGCCTGCGTCGACACATCCATTTCAACGATGGGCTACGTATTTTACTTGGCAGGCGCCGCTGTCTCTTGGTCGTCGAAGCGTCAGACTCGGGTAGCGGATTCCACCACTGATGCCGAGTACCTGGCCTTGTCGCACGCGGGTAAGGAAGCGATCTACCTTAACCAACTCCTCTCCGAGCTCCACGTTTGCCCAATCGCTGCAGCTCACATCTTCACCGACAACGAGGCCGCGGCCGCCGTCGCTCACGACCCCGTTCGCACCTCCGGCACCCGGCACATTCGCCTCCGCGAGCATTTTGTCCGTGACATGGTCAATCGAGGTGATATCTCTCTCTCACACGTTGGCACAGCAGACATGGTTGCGGACGTATTCACCAAAGCGCTAGGCCCCAAGATTTTTGGTACACATTGCTATGCTCTAGGCCTCCGGACGCGACATCCACGGCTCAAGTCTACCTCGCGTTCGCGTGGGGGGGGGTGTGAGGAATCCACTCTCCGCTCGGCTCAGGACTTAGGCGCGCGGAGCGAACCGGGCGCGGACTTAGGCGCGCGGAGTGAGCCGGGCGCCCCGGCCCAGGACTTAGGCGCGCGAAGCGAGCCTGGGACTTAGGCGCGCGGAGCGAGCCTGGGCCATTGGCTCAGCCCCAGGCTCGCTGGCTGTGGACTTGGGGCGCACGGGTCTCTTATTGTTAGCTTCCTATTCATCACTCTTGGCTATAACTACATCGCTGACGTAGTAGAGTTGATCGAATAGGTATGTTGAAATGCATTCATCACTCTTGGCTATAACTACATCGCTGACGTAGTAGAGTTGATCGAATAATTCGACCACCGACGCTGAATACCTCGCCCTCTCGCATGCTGGCAAGGAAGGGATTTACCTCAGTCAGCTGCTCGAAGAGCTCCATGTACAACCTGTTGCACCGGCTCACATCTTTACTGACAACGAAGCCGCTGCTGCAGTTGCTCACGATCCTGTCCGCGTCTCTGGCACTCGGCACATACGCTTGCGTGAGCACTTCGTTCGGGACATGGTGAATCGGGGCGACATCTCTCTCTCGCATGTGGGTACCAGCGACATGGTGGCCGACATCTTCACCAAGGCTCTCGGCCCAAAGGTCTTCTCAACGCACTGCTACGCCCTCGGCCTTCGCACTCGACACCCGCGGCTTGGGTCTGCCTCGCATTCGCGTGGGGGGGGGTGTGAAGAGTCCACTCTCAGCTCGACAGGGGCGCCTCGGTCGTTGCGCGCACTTGCTAGCCCGCCCCCGGCGGTGGGGACTTAGACGCGCGCGACTGCCTCAGCGCGCCAGCGCCGGCGGATTCATGCGCGCGCCCGCTAGCCCGCCCCCTTGCGGTGGGGACTTAGGCGCGCCGGCGATTTCACCCGCGGCTGACTTAGGGATGTACATTGTCACGCGCCTGGGACTATCCCAGCGTGGCCCCCCCCTTTCTGTTTCTTAGCTTCCTTCTCATCACTTCTGTTCGACTCTCAACCTCTCCTGACAGTAGTGGTGAACGTCTCATACAATGTTCGATACGAGGTGGCTCGATCGCGTTATCGCTCTAAATTCGACGTGGCCGCGGCATTTGAGCAGGTTCGGGTCATACCGGAGCACGTCGATCGCACCGGCTTCGCAACGGTGACGGGCACGTACACGTCGCGGGTCATGCAGTTTGGTGACACCAATGCGCCCAATACCCTCAACCTCTTGACCTCGGCGATGTTCCAGCCGTGTCTCCCGTTCGCCAAGATCTTTTTCGACGATGTCCACGTCCATTCCGATACCCGTCGTGCGCACTTGAGACACATCAAGATCCTGCTGATGACATTGAGACATTACCGGTTCTACTTAGGATCCAAGAAGTCCGAGTGGTTCTCAAAGTCGTTGGACTCCTTGGGCACCATCATTTCTGACGTCGGCATCGAAGTCGACCCCGCCAAGTGGGTGCGTGTCAGGAGCACAGCCTGCACTGCCATCAATACTCGAAGGAAGTCTCCCAAGTTTGCGGCCGGAGTCGACATCAGCTACCGGTTTGTTCGTTGCAAGCATTGTCGGCGCGATGGTGTAGTCGTGAGGGCGCGCGGGCGCGCACTCAGTGGTCGAGGGTTCGATCCGCCTGGAGCGTGATCTGCCTTTTGGTTTCTTTTCCTTTTTGTTATCCGAGGCCCGGCTTCGGGGTTTTTACCGGTGCCTTGCAGGCAATCCTTTTTACCCCTGAAGCGACCTCGTGGTGTAGTTATTTGATTCAGTCTTTCCTTCGCTCGGAGCACTTCCCTCCTTTTGCTTTTGCCACCCTTCCCCTAGAGCTTGGTCCACTCATTATCATGACTCGTACCCTCCCTCTTTTTACCCATTTCGCTGGCAATTAAGTCCGTTACACTTGATTTGCTGCGAAGCCTTCCGACCGAATCCACTCCTCGGTTGCTCTCGGTCGACTGCCGCCGCCCAGCCGACTCGACCTTCCCATCGGCCTGGTCAGCTATTTCTTGGATCGTTTGCCCTTCCTCTTTTGTCCGACCTCGTTGGCCACCATAGTCCGGTACACTGGACTTGCTGCGAACCTTGCAGCCGCGTATCCTCCGCGGTTGCCTCTCGGTCGACTGCCGCCGCCTCGGTCGACACCCCCTTCGCTCCTTCGCGCTTTCGCGCGCTCTCTCGCTCTCTCCCTCGTCTCTCGCGTGTAGTCATCGTCATCCCCTCCGACGTTGCCTGTCACTTTTTTCAAGTTCGGCATTGCTAGCGACAGTCCCAGCTTCTCTCACCGCTCAGTCCCACACCCTGGACGAGCATTCCCGCCCTCCCGCCCTTCGTCTTCGCGTCGTCCGCCTCCTCTCCGTTCGGCCTCTCGAGTTCGGCCTCTTTGACGACCGCGTGGTTCCTCCCCCCACCCCCCCACACCTCCCCCACCCCCCACCCCCCCACCTCTTCTTACCGTCTCGTGACCGCCCTCGTTCGCCCTGGAATCGCTGTTGACTGTGAGTTGAGTGATCGCCATGGCCGCCGAGTGTGACACGTCGCGCGCCGCTGCCGCAGCCAGCGCGCCGCGCCTCTTCGCAACCGCGACCCCGGCCGCGCGAACCCGCCCAAGTCCGCCTGCCACCACACTCGTTTCGCACCGCCGCCGCCTTATTGCATGGTCGCCTCGTGCCCGCCTCGTTCGTCCTGGAATCATCGACTGTCGTGTTGAGCGATCGCCATGGCCACCGAGCGCGACACGTCCTGCGCCGCTGCCGAAGACGGCCCGCCGTCCCCTTCCGCCAATCCGACCCCGGCCGAGCACGGCCAACTCCGACCGACCCGGCCGCGCGAAACCGCCTAAGTCCGCCCGCCGCCCAACTCATTCCGCACCGTCACCGCCTCGCCGCACGGTAGACTTCCTTCTGGGGGGGATAGTGTCAGGAGCACAGCCTGCACTGCCATCAATACTCGAAGGAAGTCTCCCAAGTTTGCGGCCGGAGTCGACATCAGCTACCGGTTTGTTCGTTGCAAGCATTGTCGGCGCGATGGTGTAGTCGTGAGGGCGCGCGGGCGCGCACTCAGTGGTCGAGGGTTCGATCCGCCCGGAGCGTGATCTGCCTTTTGGTTTCTTTTCCTTTTTGTTATCCGAGGCCCGGCTTCGGGGTTTTTACCGGTGCCTTGCAGGCAATCCTTTTTACCCCTGAAGCGACCTCGTGGTGTAGTTATTTGATTCAGTCTTTCCTTCGCTCGGAGCACTTCCCTCCTTTTGCTTTTGCCACCCTTCCCCTAGAGCTTGGTCCACTCATTATCATGACTCGTACCCTCCCTCTTTTTACCCATTTCGCTGGCAATTAAGTCCGTTACACTTGATTTGCTGCGAAGCCTTCCGACCGAATCCACTCCTCGGTTGCTCTCGGTCGACTGCCGCCGCCCAGCCGACTCGACCTTCCCATCGGCCTGGTCAGCTATTTCTTGGATCGTTTGCCCTTCCTCTTTTGTCCGACCTCGTTGGCCACCATAGTCCGGTACACTGGACTTGCTGCGAGCCTTGCAGCCGCGTATCCTCCGCGGTTGCCTCTCGGTCGACTTCCGCCGCCCAGCCGACTCGACCTTCCCACCGGCCTGGTCAGCTATTTCTTGGATCGTTTGCCCTCCCTCTTCTGTCCGACCTCGTTGGCTACCATAGTTCGGTACACTGGACTTGCTGCGAACCTTGCAGCCGCGTATCCTCCGCGGTTGCCTCTCGGTCGACTGCCGCCGCCTCGGTCGACACCCCCTTCGCTCCTTCGCGCTTTCGCGCGCTCTCTCGCTCTCTCCCTCGTCTCTCGCGTGTAGTCATCGTCATCCCCTCCGACGTTGCCTGTCACTTGACCTCCCACAGACGCGACAACGAATCGGCCAGGGTGTTGTTCTTGCCAGCAATGAATTCAAATTCGAAGTCGAAACGGCTGAGTTCGAGACACATGCGGATGTGCCGAGGCGTTTGGCGCAGTTTTTGGGTTTTTATCGTGCGAAGGGCCTGATGGTCGGTGACGATGACGAAGGGGTAACCGATCAAGTGCTGCTCGAACGCCCGACACGCCGAGACGACAGCCAAGAACTCTTTATCAGTGACATGATAGTTGAGCTGAGCACCGTTGAACTTAGCGGAAAAGAATCGCGTTGGAACGGCCTGCGAACGGTTGGGCCCGGACGCCAAACAAGCGCCAATGCCAACCCGACTGGCATCCGTGAAGAGGTACATCTTGTGCTCGCCCGAGGTAACCTTGGCGCCATCGATCGGTCGTAGGATGGCGGGCACAAGGGACTTGACGGTATCGAAAGCCTGCTGTTCTCGCTCGTTCCAACGCCATGACGTCGCTTGCGCCATTAACGCGGTGATCGGCTCCAAAATCTTTGAGAGGTGCGGTAGGTGATCTCGCATCCAGTTGACGGTGCCGAGGAAGCGCTGGACATCGGTCTTGTTGCAAGGGATCGGCCACTGACGGATACGCACCCACTTGGCGGGGTCGACTTCGATGCCGACGTCGGAAATGATGGTGCCCAAGGAGTCCAACGACTTTGAGAACCACTCGGACTTCTTGGATCCTAAGTAGAACCGGTAATGTCTCAATGTCATCAGCAGGATCTTGATGTGTCTCAAGTGCGCACGACGGGTATCGGAATGGACGTGGACATCGTCGAAAAAGATCTTGGCGAACGGGAGACACGGCTGGAACATCGCCGAGGTCAAGAGGTTGAGGGTATTGGGCGCATTGGTGTCACCAAACTGCATGACCCGCGACGTGTACGTGCCCGTCACCGTTGCGAAGCCGGTGCGATCGACGTGCTCCGGTATGACCCGAACCTGCTCAAATGCCGCGGCCACGTCGAATTTAGAGCGATAACGCGATCGAGCCACCTCGTATCGAACATTGGTCATGTCCGGGATGGGCGAAAAACGCTTGACGGTGTTGCTGTTGCGCGCGCGGAGGTCAATCACGAAACGAGCCGTCTGGGAGTTCTTCTTCGGAATGGCAAAGACCGGAGCCGCAGAATCGATCGGACCCGAAACCCAGAATCGACCACGAGTGTACTTAGCTGAGTGTTCCGCCCACTGGCTGCGATATTTGTCGGCAAGGGGGTATACCCGGGGTTTGACCTTTTCGGTGGGATCGATCAACGGGATCTCGTGGTTGACTGGCCGGTACGGTGGGAGTTGGTCCATCGGTAGCGAATCTACGAACACATCAGAAAATTTCTCGAGTAAGGCAGCCAATCGTGTTCGTGCTTCGGACTCAGAGAAATCGTCGAGCGCCGGATCGTCGACGACATCGAGCAGCGGGTTGTGTGGCTCGAGGCCGATGATCTCATCGTCGGGAAGCAACCCAGGGTGATTGCAGCCAATGGCAGAACCGGATAAGATAGGTGCTACGGTGACGGCTCGGTCCCATTCGTGCGTATCCTGGGCGACGGGTTGCGAAGGGCCGGTGCGCGCGACGGTGAAGACGCCCCAACCAACGAGCATGCCTGTGTCCTTAAGAAATGGCAGCCCCAAGATGGCATCGTACGCCGTTACACGGCAAACGAAGAATGGTCGCAAACCGAGATCTAGGGCGCCAGACGAAAAAGGAGCGGTGGCGAACACAGCACATCGGTCGGACTTATCCTGGGTGCCGAGGCGCAAGTGCAATGGTACAGTCAAACGGGCCGTTGCGAAGCTCGGGTCGACTCGCACCACCTCCTGATCCACCAAGTCGACCTCTGATCCAGAGTCGATCAAACATCGCAAAACCCTTCCAGAAGGTAGCGTCCAAGCGATGACGTTGCGGGCGCGTACAATGGCGGGCTCGACAGGTCGGTCGGGTTCGTCGATGTCGATCAGGGGCGCAGCGGACGCCAAGAGAGACACACCCTGTCAGGAGCACAGCCTGCACTGCCATCAATACTCGAAGGAAGTCTCCCAAGTTTGCGGCCGGAGTCGACATCAGCTACCGGTTTGTTCGTTGCAAGCATTGTCGGCGCGATGGTGTAGTCGTGAGGGCGCGCGGGCGCGCACTCAGTGGTCGAGGGTTCGATCCGCCCGGAGCGTGATCTGCCTTTTGGTTTCTTTTCCTTTTTGTTATCCGAGGCCCGGCTTCGGGGTTTTTACCGGTGCCTTGCAGGCAATCCTTTTTACCCCTGAAGCGACCTCGTGGTGTAGTTATTTGATTCAGTCTTTCCTTCGCTCGGAGCACTTCCCTCCTTTTGCTTTTGCCACCCTTCCCCTAGAGCTTGGTCCACTCATTATCATGACTCGTACCCTCCCTCTTTTTACCCATTTCGCTGGCAATTAAGTCCGTTACACTTGATTTGCTGCGAAGCCTTCCGACCGAATCCACTCCTCGGTTGCTCTCGGTCGACTGCCGCCGCCCAGCCGACTCGACCTTCCCATCGGCCTGGTCAGCTATTTCTTGGATCGTTTGCCCTTCCTCTTTTGTCCGACCTCGTTGGCCACCATAGTCCGGTACACTGGACTTGCTGCGAGCCTTGCAGCCGCGTATCCTCCGCGGTTGCCTCTCGGTCGACTTCCGCCGCCCAGCCGACTCGACCTTCCCACCGGCCTGGTCAGCTATTTCTTGGATCGTTTGCCCTCCCTCTTCTGTCCGACCTCGTTGGCTACCATAGTTCGGTACACTGGACTTGCTGCGAGCCTTGCAGCCGCGTATCCTCCGCGGTTGCCTCTCGGTCGACTGCCGCCGCCTCGGTCGACACCCCCTTCGCTCCTTCGCGCTTTCGCGCGCTCTCTCGCTCTCTCCCTCGTCTCTCGCGTGTAGTCATCGTCATCCCCTCCGACGTTGCCTGTCACACCCGACGGCACAAGAATCTGGAAAGAGCTCACCGAAGCAGTCCTTTCCGCCTTGCGAGACGACACCACTTCCGGCCCCGGATAATGACACAAGCGCGACGCGGCATCAGCGTAGTACAAGACATCTTCCACCGCGTCACTCGCGATGTCAGCCAGGCTATCGTCGAGACGATGTTGATCTGCATCATTTGCCGGCACGGTTGGATGCGAACTACTTGATGAGGTCTGAACTTCAAAAGAAGAAGAGGCAACGTCTTTCACTCGGCCAACAAGGTCTGCAGGAGGGCAAGAGTGGTGCGTCACTAAGGCGGATGCGGAACTCGACGGTCGAGTCAAATCAGTCTCGAGGGGAAGGGGGAATCGCACCTGGGGGTCCTCAACGTCACCTGAGGCCGACGACCATTCGTCCTCGTCCATGTCGGCGAAGGCAATTGCTGATATTTGGACGGTCGAGGGGGATTGTCGCTCCGCTGTACAATGCTGTGAGAAATGGCCACCTTGACCGCAATTAAAACACGCCATGCTGGCGGGTACCCCACCCGATGCTGGCGAAAACCACGTGTTCCGATCCTTCCACAGGTGGGCCTGTTGCCATTTACCGGCGCGGTTCATCCATCGAGCTCGACGGATCTGGGTACGTGCGTCGTCGTTTGGCGTGGATGGGGCGGTGCGTGGCATTTTCGCAATTGCTCCATAAGTCGCAGTACGAATCGGCGGGGTCGAAACTGATGTCGTGCCGGTGTCGTCGGCGATGGCGGCCCAGTCGGTAACCTCCTCGAGGGACGGGACAGTTCGTCCGAACCTCCCTATAGTCACGAGTGAGTTATCCCGATATTCCCGCAGCATACCAGCCCGCACTTCCCGCTTAGCCACATCACTCAACGATTGATAAAAGGTTGTGGCGAGTTGAAGGGGCGAGAGGCTGAAGCTGGGGTCGTTGTGCATAAACGCTCGGTAGCGGGCACGCCATTCGCCCACATGGTCGTAGGCTCGAGACGAAGACTGTCGGCACCCGTAGAAGTCGTGGGACACTCGGTCGGCAAAGCCAGGATCCGGCCAACGACGTCCAACTTCTGTCATCAGTGTCGTCCAGCAGTGAGGTCGTTCGTCCCGGAGCGCGTCCGTCATAGTATCAACGGCCCAGTCGTGCGGAGACTGACGGCGCTTGGGAGAAGTGGAACGAACGAACAAGGTCGCCACAAGCTGGATGACGCGGTCGCTGGTAAAAAGGTCGCTGGTGGAAATGTCGCAAAGTAGAGACAAGTACGACTTCCCAAATGTAGTGAAAGTGACCAACCGATCCGGGTTATCCCCTGTCCATAGCCCTTCCCGGTCAGGTAACGTCCCTCTCCAACGAGAGCTGATTACTGCCGAGGAAGGGCCGTCCCTTCGTGCGCTGTGAGATTCCCCCCCAGGGGAACGAACAAGGGGGTCAGCGGTATTGCCTGAACGTTCCAGAATGGTGTGTGGGGGAACGTCCAAGGGGACCGATCTCACCGGCGTAAACGTAAACTCCCCAGCCCGCGCTGCGGCTGGTTCAGAGAATCCAGCCCTCGCCACAGCTGGTTCAGAGACTCCGGCCCGCGCCGCAGCTGGTTCAGGTGAGCTTTTCAATAAACCCTCCACCAACTTCTCCAATTGCTGAACACGTGCCTCGGAGTCGATACGACGGGCTTCGGATTCCTCGAGGCGGCTTTCGAGGGACGATAGAGCGGTGGCGGTGTGGTAGGGTTGGGGCGGCGGGGACTTGGGCGGTTTCGCGCGGCCGGGGTCTTCGTCGCGGAGAGGAGCGTCTCGATCATCGGCGGCGGCGCGGTACACGTCGCGCTCGTCGGCCATGGCAATCTCGTGACTCAAACGTCGGCGATTGCGGGGCGAACGAACGCGGGCACGAGACGGTTGACGGAAAGGGTAGGAAGGATCAACGTGTTCGTCGTCGGACTCTGTGGAGGAAGTCGGGAAGGACAGCGACGCGTTCGTTGGTGATGAATTCGGCAACGGAGAGGAGGCTGAAGACTCAGGCTCAGAGAATGGGGGTGAATGCTCGTCCAGGACGGTGGACGAAGCGGTTGTAGAGGTGCGGATCGTTGTCGGTAATGCCGAACTTGAAAAAAGTGACAAGCGACGTCGGAGGGGATGACGTCGTCTACACGCGTTGGTACGGGGGGGGATTTCTGGAAGTGTCGGCTGTTGCGGCGGCAGTCGACAAGGGAGCAACCGAGGAGGGGAGTCGGTCGAAAGGCTCGCAGGAAATCAAGTGTAACGGACTTAATTCCCAAACGATCGACAAGAAGAGGAGGGGCAACAAAAGAGAAGAGCGGACCAAGCTCCCGGGGAAAGGTGGTAAAACTAAAGGGAAGGGACTGTGCCAGGCCCAGAGGGGACTTAGCCAAATCAACCACTCCAAGAGGTTGCCTCAGGGGTAAAAAGGATTGCTCGCTGGAGCACCGGTAAAAACCCTGAAGCCGCGCCTCGGCTAACAAAAGATAAAACAAACCGAAAGAAGACTGCGGTCTGGGCGCCTCGAACCCGCGACCACCGAGTGCGCGCCCGCGCGCCTCACGACTACGCCATCACACCGACGATGCTGTGAAACGAGGCAAGCCTCTGGTCAAGTCAACTCTACCCGCACATAGCCTTGGGGGGCTTCCTTCGAGTACACGCTGTCATCCTGACAGACTGCATCCGATGCCGATCCCTTCTGGTCCTTGGGAACAAGTGGCCATCGACTTCATGACAGGACTGCCTCCGGTCGAGCTCGAAGGGATGATGGTTGCTCAAATCATGGTGGTCACTGACACTTGGGGCAAGATGGTCCACCTGATTCCCCTCCCAGCCGATGCCGACTCGGAGCTCGTTGCCGAGAAGTACTACGCCACCGTCTTCCGACTGCATGGGATGCCTTCCGCCATCGTTTCCGACCGTGATCCCAAGTTCACCTCGCAGTTTTGGCGGGCATTGCAGGCAAAGATTGGCACCGTCTTGCGAATGTCAACCGCGGCACACCCGGAGACGGACGGATCGAGCGAGAATCGGATCAAGATGGTCACCCAAACCCTGCGGATCATGGTCTCGTCAAACCACGAGGCTTGGGCATCTCGTCTTGTTGAAGCTGAGTTCGCTCTTAACTCTTCTGTTGCTGTGTCCACGTCGCTGTCGGCTTTTGAGGCAACCTACGGCTACCTTCCTCGATGTTGGCCCTCGGATTCCTGGTCTGGCAGGCAACGTCCTCTTCAGAAGACGTTGACTACACGCGGAGGAGGGGATCAGGCCGAAGGAAGGTCGACTGGGCGGGGGCAGGCGACCGAGGGACAACCGAGGAGGGGACGCGGTTGTGAGGCTCGCAGCAAGTCAAGTATATCGGACTTTATTGCCAACGAGATCGAAAACGAAGGATGAAGGTGAAGGGATCTTGGGAGATGTAGCGGACCAGGCTGAGTGGGAAGGTGCTAAAAACAAAAGGGAGGCACTCAGGCGCAGAGGGGACTTAGCCAATTCAGCTACTCCAAGAGGTCGCCTCAGGGGGAAAAAGGATTGCTCGCGGGAGCACCGGTAAAAACCCTGAGGCCGCGCCTCAGCTAACAAAAAGAACAAAAACCGAGAGAAGATTGCGCTCTGCGCGCCTTGAACCCGCGACCATTAAGTGCGCGCCCGCGCGCCGAACGACTACGCCATCACGCCCACAATGCTTGAATGGAGGGAAGCATTTGGTGACCTCAACTCTACCTGCACATTACCTCAGGGACTTCCTTCGAGTGTTGCTGTCAGTGTATCGCTGTTTGCCTGACATTGTCCCCCCCAGAAGGAAGTCTACCGGGAGGACAGGCGGCGATTTGAGCGATCGAGTTGTGCCAGGTAGGCGTCGAGTAGGGATGGATGGTCGAAGCGGAGGGACTGCTCTGACATCCAAGTGTCATCGATGTCCTTACGGCCAATCCATCGAACCAAGAACGAACGATTGCCCCGAGCGTTCCGACGATCGCGAACAATCCGTTCCGGAATGGCGGAGTTGTCGGCCGCGTCGGCTACATCTTCAACAAAAAGAACTGCGGGGTCACGCCCAGGGAACCTCTCAGCATCGTTCTCAACATAGGGGCGAAGCAGTCGAGCATGGAAGCGACTGTGCACTCGCGACATTGCTGGGGGAAGCTCGAGGTCGTAACTGGACGTCGCTGGAATGGCCGCTCGGATACGGAAAGGACCAATGTAGCGCGGCAACAACTTCGACTTCATCCCTTCAGGAACTGCCAGGTTCTTGGTCGAAAGATAGACATAACTGCCGGTCCGAAAGGCGGGATCATCCGGGCGTCGATGCTTGTTGGCCTGGTGAGTCTGATCGAGGCGTGCACCAATGATCGCATCCGTGACGTCGAGATTCCGTAACTGTCGGATTCGGGCAAACGCTTCCGCACGCGGGACGTCCGAGACAGACCAGGAATCGGTGGGCCAGCGTCGAGGAAGGTAACCGTAAGTCGCCTCGAAAGCCGACAGAGACGTGGAAACAGCAACGGAAGAGTTAAGAGCGAACTCAGCTTCAACAAGACGAGATGCCCAAGCCTCGTGGTTTGACGACACCATGATGCGCAGGGTTTGGGTGACCATCTTGATTCGGTTCTCACTCGATCCGTCGGTCTCTGGGTGCGCCGCTGTTGACATCCGCAAGACGGTGCCGACCTTCGCCTGCAATGCTCGCCAAAACTGCGAGGTGAACTTGGGATCGCGATCGGAAACGATGGCGGAAGGCGTCCCATGCAGTCGAAAGATGGTGGCGTAGTACCTGTCGGCAACGAGCTCGGAGTCGGCGTCGGCTGGGAGGGGAATCAGGTGGACCATCTTGCCCCAAGTGTCAGTGACCACCATGATTTGAGCGACCATCATCCCTTCGAACTCGACCGGAGGCAGTCCCGTCATGAAGTCGATGGCCACTTGTTCCCATGGGCCAGAAGGGATCGGCATCGGATGCAGTCGGCCATAAGGGACTTGAGTGGACGCTTTGCCTCGGGCACAATCTTCGCATGAATGGCAGAACTTGGCGCAATCGGCAGACATGGACGACCACCAATACAAAGGACGTATGGCGGCCAAGGTGATGCGATGTCCCGCGTGCCCGACGCTCCGATGGATCTCCGAAAGCACGAGCTCGCGCAGCGATGGGAGCTTGTCGGAGTCGACAACGCCGGTAGCGAGACCGCGAGGCACAAACAGGGAAAGAGACTCATCTGGATGTACACGCAAGATCCTCCCTTCCTCGGTCACCCGAAACATCGGCCATGACAGCGGGTCGTCAACAATGACTTGGGCTTGCGAATCGTGGGCGTAGGCTCGGATGACGGCGTCGAGGAAAGGTTGCGGCAGCGGGTCGGGCGGTCGATGGACTACAGGGGCGTCGTTGACCTCATCGGCGGCGGCTCCCAGTAAGTCGAGTTCATCGGCGTCGGCATCGACTGGAATGGGCGCGTCGTTGGCGGGGGCCGCGGCGATAGCATGAACTCGATTGACGGCGATGGGAGGAGAAAGGGGACCGGTAGAAGAGTCGACGGCGTCCATAATGTTCTCGGCCAGACGATGGGAACCGGGAGAGCCTGCGTCGTAGCCGTGATCCCAGGGCCCGAAGGCACAATCAACAGGGGGCAACCGATCGTGCGAAGGTGAGGTGTAAGGACGTTCCTCAGGGAGGCTCTCACCAGGTGTAGTGAACTCGTGGCATTCTTCCTTCAAGAACAAATTCCCTAAATCCCGTCCATTCACGTCCTCGTCTTGCGATTCGTCCTTGAGCGCGTAGTATCCGGGAGAGCCTGCCTCGCAATCGTCGCGTTGGGGCCCGAAGGCAAAATCAACAGGAGGCAACCGATCGGGAGATGGTGAGGTGTAAGGACGTTCCTCAGGGAGGCTCTCACCGTGTGTAGTGAATCCGTGGCGTTCTCCATCAAAGAACATATCCTCCAACTCATTCTCCTTGACCTGATCCTCGGGCGTATGAGACGTTCACCACTACTGTCAGGAGAGGTTGAGAGTCGAACAGAAGTGATCTATTTCAGCGTACCTATGAGACGTTCACCACTACTGTCAGGAGAGGTTGAGAGTCGAACAGAAGTGATGAGAAGGAAGCTAAGAAACAGAAAGGGGGGGGCCACGCTGGGATAGTCCCAGGCGCGTGACAATGTACATCCCTAAGTCAGCCGCGGGTGAAATCGCCGGCGCGCCTAAGTCCCCACCGCAAGGGGGCGGGCTAGCGGGCGCGCGCATGAATCCGCCGGCGCTGGCGCGCTGAGGCAGTCGCGCGCGTCTAAGTCCCCACCGCCGGGGGCGGGCTAGCAAGTGCGCGCAACGACCGAGGCGCCCCTGTCGAGCTGAGAGTGGACTCTTCACACCCCCCCCCACGCGAATGCGAGGCAGACCCAAGCCGCGGGTGTCGAGTGCGAAGGCCGAGGGCGTAGCAGTGCGTTGAGAAGACCTTTGGGCCGAGAGCCTTGGTGAAGATGTCGGCCACCATGTCGCTGGTACCCACATGCGAGAGAGAGATGTCGCCCCGATTCACCATGTCCCGAACGAAGTGCTCACGCAAGCGTATGTGCCGAGTGCCAGAGACGCGGACAGGATCGTGAGCAACTGCAGCAGCGGCTTCGTTGTCAGTAAAGATGTGAGCCGGTGCAACAGGTTGTACATGGAGCTCTTCGAGCAGCTGACTGAGGTAAATCCCTTCCTTGCCAGCATGCGAGAGGGCGAGGTATTCAGCGTCGGTGGTCGAATCGGCAACTCGAGACTGGCGTTTGGACGACCAGGACACGGCCGAGCCAGCGATGTAGAAGACGTAGCCCATGGTGGACACCGATGTGTCGATGCAGGCCCCCCAGTTCGCGTCGGAGTAGCCTACCACACCCGTGATGCGAGCCTGGCCGCGAGCATACACGAGTTCGTTGCGATACGTGGCCCGGAGATAGCGTAGGATGTGCTTGACCGCAATCCAATGACGACGACCGGGGTTGTTGGCGAAGCGGGCCAGGTAGGACACGGCGAAGGCGATGTCAGGGCGGGTACCGAGCGAAATGTAGAGGAGCGAGCCGATAGCCTGCAGATACCATGACCTGATCCGTTCGGTGCCTTGACCCGGGATAGCAGTGAGCGAAAGGCCGGGAGTCATCGGAACTGTAGTGCCGCGAGTCGTGGTGTCGAAGTGGAACCGAGCGAGCACGTCCATGATGTACCGTTCCTGGGATAGGGCGATAGAGCCGTCGTCGAACCGCCTGATCTGGATGCCGAGGATATACTCGGCCGGGCCGAGGCGCTTGACTCCGTAGCGTTGGTCCAGGCCTGAGATGACACGTTCGATTTCGGCCAGTTCCGGGCTGATCATCAGGAGGTCGTCGACGTACAGTGCGATGTAGTGTGGACATTGACGATCATCGAGCCAAGAGTATACGCAGTGGTCGGTGCCCGTCGCCGTGTAACCGAGGGCCCGAAGCGAAGCGTCGATGTGTCGATTCCAGATTCGGCCAGCCTGTTTGAGCCCGTAGATGGAGCGTCGCAGGCGAAGCACCTTGTCGCTGGGAAGGTCGAAGCCGCGCGGTGCCGTCATCCAGATGTCGTGGTCAAGGTCGCCATGCAGATATGCTTTGTCGATGTCCGCCTGGTGCACGTGCAAGCCGTTGGCGGCCGCCAGCGCGAGGAGTGAGCGTATCGAGGAGAAGCGTGCGACCGGTGCGAACGTTTCGTTGAAGTCGATGCCGTCGCGTTGCCGATTGCCTTGCGCGACCAGCCTTGCCTTGTGTCCAGTGACTTCGCCGAGTGCGTTCCGTTTCGTTTTCCAGACGAACTTGGATGTAACGATAGTCGCACCCGCGGGCACCGTGGCTCGGTCCTCGATGGTGAAGACCTTGAAGTCGTCGCGCATGGAGGTGAACTCGTCGGTGGCGGCTTTGGCCCATACTTCACGCTTGTCGCTAGACATCGCCTCGCGCCAGGTCTGTGGGTCGCTCGTGATGGACTTGACTGGCTGAATTGCCTCTGTGTCAGAGGTGTCGTCGTCGATGGCGATGAAGGCGCGGTGGTGTCGGGTGAGGAAATCGATTTCGTCCGGAGATTCGTCGCGAGAGTGGCGCCCAATGAGGTCGAGTTCGTCGGGCGACTCCTCAGCCGATGCGGGCTCGCGGTACGTGCTGAAGTCTGGGTGGTGCACGTCCTGTAGATCGAGGCGAACCTGGGGCTGTGAGCCGAGGAGGTCGAGGGGATCGGCGGAGTCTTCAGAGTCGGTCGGTAAGGCCGAGGGTGACGATGACGCAGCCGACGATGGTGAAAGTGCAGGCGATGGCGCAGACGACGGTGATGAGGGCGACGCAGGCGACGGTGACGAGGACGATTCGGCATCTGTGAAGTTAAGTAAGGTTCCGCCAGTGTACCCTGGGGCCACGTCAACGGCGCTCATGGCAGAATCATCAAGGGGGGATGAGACGTCCATGTGCGCCGACCTTACTAGTGGGGTCCATGTCTTGACAACGGTTTGAGATTCGGTGGTGGGAGCGCTGGCGAAGTGCGTGTCGCCGTCTTGCTCAGTGGGGTCGCCATGTAATCCGGGGAATTCAGTGTCGAGGAACGTGGCATTTCTGCCAAGTATAATCTTCTGTGTTGTAGTGTCGTAGAAGCGAAAGGCTTTTGAAGCCAGGTCGTAGCCGGTGAAAAAAACGCGAACCGCCTTCGGGTCGAGTTTGGAGCGAAGTTCGGGCGCGACCGTAAGCCAAGCTGTACAGCCGAACGGGTGAAGCGCCGAGGCAGTGGTGTGGTCACCCTGCCAGACGGAGTTTGGTGTTGCCTTGTCCAGGGCCGCGTGTTGACACAGGTTCTTGCAGTAAACGAAATAAGCTGCAGCCTCCTCCCAGAATGTCTTGGGTAGGTGGGCGTCGACAAGGAGGGCAAGGACGCCTTCGACAATGGAACGATTGACCCGCTCTGCACGACCGTTCTGTTGAGGCGTGCGTGGGATAGAGTATTGTCGACGGGTGCCTCGTGTCTTGCAGAACTCTGTGAACGCTCTCGAACAGTATTCGCCACCGTTGTCGGTTCGGAGGACCTTCAGCGTCGCACCCGTCTCGAGTTCAACCTCGGCTAGCCAAGTTTTGAATATGCCGAAGACTTCGCTTTTGTGTCCGATTGCGTAGGCCCAGAGTTTGCGCGAGTAATCGTCAAGGAATGTGACCAGGTAACGTTTGCCAGTCAAGGACCGCTCGGGGAAGGAAAGCACATCGCTGTGTACAAGGCCGAGTCTCTCTGAGGAGTGCGAATCCGAATCGGGAAAGGGAAGACGATGGCCCTTTGCGCTGAGGCAAGCATTGCAGACAAACTTCTCTACCTCTTCGTCACTATATCCGGCCCTGAGACCCTCCAGCAAACCAGCGGCAACCATCTTCTGTATGGAGGACGGTGCGAGATGGCCGAGGCAGCGATGGAGAGTCAGCAGGGGCACGGACGACTGTGAGCGAGAAAGGAGAGCAAGGTGCTGACATTTGGAATGATCAGCGTCCAGCAAGTAGAGCCCTTCGTCGAGTCGTGCGCCTTCAGCGATGTCGTTGCCGTCCTTGTCAATGTGGATGCCGTGTTTTGTGAAGGCGACACGGACATCGTCGGTGTCGCAAAGTCGAGAGACCGAGAGAAGATTGACAAACAGGCCCGGAGTGTGCAGCACGCCGGTAAGCGTGATCGGATGACCCGAGGCGGCAATGAAGGCGATGTTTCCCGTTCCGATGGCGTTGATGCCCCCTGCAATACCACCAATCTTCGTAGGAGCGATATGGCGATAGGTCGTGAACAGCGACTTGTCCGAGACCATGTGCGAAGTGGCGCCCGAGTCGACGACAAAAGAGTGGTTGCGAAGCTGGCGACGACGAGCGAGAAGACCGGTGGCGAGACATCCGACATGGTGTTGCGAGTCGACGGTCGAGTCAGCGGTGTCGGGCTTTTTGCCGTCCTCGAGCGCCTTCTTGCAGTCGAGAGACCAGTGATCCTTCTTCTTGCAGGAGCGACAGGGTCCTGGCGGCGGGTGTTGCGCCCTCGTAGGGCACTCCGCGACTCGGTGCGAAGGGCTGCGACAGGCGAGACACTTGAGACGAGTAGAACGTGACGACGACGAGGCAAGAAGGGCCGATTGAGTGCTGGGGATGTTCGTTGACCGAAGTTGGACTCGCATACGGTCGGCAAGCGAATCAATGTCGGGGAGAGTTCGTTGCGTGCGCTGTTCATCGGTGAACGACGCCTTGAAGCTCTCGAGGGACGGGTGGGCGATTGCAAGGAGGAGTGTGGCGAGAACATCATTGATAGTTGTCTTTGTGTCGATGATCTCTTGCGCAACGGCTTTGAAGTCCATGATCCACCCGTCGAATTCGGCAACCGTGCCGGGCATGGGACGGAAACCCCAGAGTCGTGAGAAGAGCTCGAGCGTGCGGGTGGCGTCGTCAGGGGCGTACCGCGATTTCAGCGTCGAGTAGATTGTCGGCGCTGTCAGGTCGGCGGTAGGGATTTTGTCGAGGACTGCCGAGACTTCGGCCGAGTCAATCGAATTCGCAAGGACCTCACGAGCGACGGCGTCGCGAGCGGAGCGTTGCGAAGGTGTCCAGTCGTCGGGTGCGATACCGTCGAGGACGTACGAGCGGATGTCGTCCGCTAGGCACAGGCGAAGTTGGCGTGTCCAGTTCGCGAAGGTCTTCGCACCATCCAAGCGTGCGTGCTTTGGAAAGGCAGTGCGAGTGGTGCCGGACGTCGTGGCGGGTGTGGCAGTGCCGGAAGCGGCAGCGGTGAGACCCGACAGCAGCGATGTAAGTGCGGCGAGCTGTTCGGCGGGAATCGGAGGGTTGGCACCCGTCGCGAGGGGTGGTGTCGTGGTCATGCCAGCTGGTGGCTCGTGGGCTTATAACCTATGAGACGTTCACCACTACTGTCAGGAGAGGTTGAGAGTCGAACAGAAGTGATCTATTTCAGCGTACCTATGAGACGTTCACCACTACTGTCAGGAGAGGTTGAGAGTCGAACAGAAGTGATGAGAAGGAAGCTAAGAAACAGAAAGGGGGGGCCACGCTGGGATAGTCCCAGGCGCGTGACAATGTACATCCCTAAGTCAGCCGCGGGTGAAATCGCCGGCGCGCCTAAGTCCCCACCGCAAGGGGGCGGGCTAGCGGGCGCGCGCATGAATCCGCCGGCGCTGGCGCGCTGAGGCAGTCGCGCGCGTCTAAGTCCCCACCGCCGGGGGCGGGCTAGCAAGTGCGCGCAACGACCGAGGCGCCCCTGTCGAGCTGAGAGTGGACTCTTCACAGGGCGATCCCTCCTTGACTTCCCACAAGCGTGACAACGAATCGGCAAGGGAGTTGTTCTTGCCCGCAATGAATTCGAATTCGAAGTCGAAACGGCTGAGTTCGAGACACATGCGGATGTGCCGGGGTGTTTGGCGTAACTTCTGCGTTTTAATCGTGCGAAGGGCTTGGTGGTCGGTGACGATGACGAAGGGGTAACCGATCAAGTGCTGCTCGAACGCCCGACACGCCGAAACGACGGCTAAGAACTCCTTATCAGTGACGTGATAATTGAGCTGAGCGCCATTGAACTTAGCGGAGAAGAATCGCGTAGGAATGGCCTGCGAACGAGTGGGGCCCGAGGCCAGGCAAGCGCCAATGCCAACACGACTGGCATCGGTGAACAAGTAGATTTTGTGCTCGCCGGAGGTGACCTTAGCGCCGTCGATCGGTCGCAGTGTTGCTGGCACGAGGGACTTGACGGTGTCGAAGGCCTGCTGCTCGCGCTCGTTCCAACGCCACGACGTCGATTGCGCTAATAATGCGGTGATGGGCTCCAAGGTGATCGAGAGGTGGGGCAGGTGATCTCGCATCCAATTCACGGTGCCGAGGAAACGCTGAACGTCGGTCTTGTTGTGTGGAGTCGGCCACTGTCGGATACGCTCCCACTTGGCCGGGTCGACCTCGATGCCGTCGTCGGAGATGATCGCGCCCAAGGAATCTAACGACTTTGAGAACCACTCGGATTTGTTGGATCCTAAGTAGAACCGATAATGTCGCAGTGTCATCAGCAAAATCTCGATGTGTCTTAAGTGCGCGCGACGAGTATCGGAATGGACGTGAACATCGTCGAAAAAGATCTTGGCAAACGAGAGGCACGGCTGAAACATCGCCGATGTCAACAAGTTCAGGGTGTTGGGCGCATTGGTGTCCCCAAACTGCATCACCCGCGACGTGTACGTGCCCGTGACCGTGGCGAAGCCGGTGCGATCGACGTGCTCGGGTATGACCCGCACCTGCTCAAACGCTGCGGCCACGTCGAATTTGGACCGGTAGCGCGAACGTGCCACTTCGTAGCGAACACTGGTCATGTCGGGGATAGGTGAAAAACGCTTGGCGGTGTTGCTGTTGCGAGCGCGGAGGTCGATCACAAAGCGAGCGGTCTGGGAGTTCTTTTTCGGAATGGCGAAGACCGGAGCCGCAGAGTCGATCGGACCAGAAACCCAGAAGCGACCGCGAGTGTACTTAGCTGAATGCTCCGCCCACTGGCTACGATATTTGTCGGCAAGGGGATAGACCCTCGGCTTGACCTTCTCGTTGGGGTCGATCAAAGGGATTTCGTGATTGACGGGTCGATAAGGCGGGAGTCGGTCCATTGGGAGCGAATCTACGAACACATCAGAGTATTTCTCGAGTAAGGCAGCCAATCGTGTTCGTGCTTCGGACTCAGACAAATCCTCGAGCGCCGGGTCGTCGACGACATCCAGTAGAGGGTTGTGCGGCTCGAGGCCAATGATCTCGTCGTCAGGAAGCAACCCTGGGTGATCGTAGCCAATGGCAGAGCCGGAGCAGATGGGCGCCACCGTGACTGCGCGATCCCACTCGTGAGTGCCCTTGGCGACCGGCTGCGAAGGGCCCGGCCGTGCGACGGTGAAGACGCCCCAGCCTACCAGCATGCCGGTGTCCTTCAGAAACGGCAAACCCAGGATAGCATCATATGCCGTCACACGGCAAATGAAAAACGCCCGCAAGCCGAGGTCGAGGGAACCGGACGTGAAGAGGGCGTTGGCAAACACGGCGCAGCGGTCAGATTTGTCGCGAGTGCCGAGGCGCAAGTGCAGCGGCGCGGTAAGGCGGGACGTCGTGAAACTCGGGTCTGTTCGCACGACATCCTGATCCACCAAGTCCACTTCCGAACCAGAGTCGACGAGGCAACGCAGCGTTCGCCCAGACGGCAACGTCCACGCAATAATATTGCGGGCGCGCACAATCGCGGGCTCGGCGGGTCGGGCGAAGTCGTCGACGTCGATCAGGGGCGTGTCGGACTCCAAGAGAGAAACCCCCAACGGCACCGGAACACGAACAGAGCTCACCGATGCAGTCCTCTCCGCTTTGCGCGACGACACCACCTCCGGCCCCCAGTATCGCCGCATTCGCGACGCGGCATCAGCATAAGAGGGGACGTCTTCCACCGCGTCAAACGCAGAGTCGGTCGAGTCATCGGCAAGACGACGTAGATCTGCATCACTTGCCGGCGCGGTTGGCTGCGGATTACTTGATGAGACTTCGACGTCGACTGAAGAAGAAGCCCCTTCTTTCATTCGGCCAACGGGGTCTGCGGGAGGGCAAGAAGGGCGCGTCATTGAAGCGGAAACGGAACTCAAAGGTCGAGTCTGAACACGCTCGAGTGAAATGGGGACTCTCACCTCGGGATCCTCGTCACCACCTGCGACCGAGGACCAATCTTCGTCATCCAAGTCGGCCACAGCGACCGCTGAGAGTTGGACGGCGACCGGGGATTGACGCTCCGCGGTGCAGTGCTGCGAGAAATGACCGCCTCGTCCGCAGTTGAAGCAAGCCATGCTGGTGGGTACCCCGCTGGGCGCCGGGGAAAACCAGGTGGAGCGGTCCTTCCACAAGTGCGATTGCTGCCACTTAGTAGCGCGGTCGACCCATCGAGCTCGTCGGATCGGGAACCTCTCGTCGACGGTGGGCGTGTTGGTCGCAGGTGGGCTCACTCGGGGAGCTTTGACGATCGCGCCATAGGTCGCGGTGCGGCTTGGTGGGGTCGGAACCGAAGGCGGAGGAGAAATGTCGTCGGCGATAGCGGCCCACTCGGTAATCTCGTCGATGGACGGGACCTTCAGTCCGAATCGCCCAATTGTCACCAGCGAGTTGTCGTGGTATTCACGTAACATTCCCGCCCGCACTTCCCGCTTGGAGGAGTCACTGAGCGATTGGTAGAAGGTCGTGGCGAGCTGAAGCGGCGACAGGGTGAAACTATCGTTGTCGTGCACGAAGGCACGGTACCGCGCCCGCCACTCCCCGACATGGTCGTAAGCCCGAGACGACGACTGGCGACATCCGTGGAAGTCTTGAGCCACTCTATCGGCGAACCCGGGGTCGGGCCAACGACGTCCCACTGCCTTCATGAGCGACGTCCAACAATGAGGGCGCCCTTCTCCAAGCGCGTCCCTCATCGCCTCGACGGCCCAATCGAGCGGGGATTGGCGGCGCTGTCGGGTTGTCGTACGAAAAAATAGCGTCGCCACAAGCTGGATCACTCGGCTCGTGTCGAAAAGGTCGGAGGTGGAGATGTCGCACAAGAGAGAAAGATACGACTCCCCAAACGCAGTGAAAATCACCAACCTTTCCGGATGATCTCCGGTCCATAACCCTTCCCGGTCCGGCAATGTCCCTCTCCAACGAGAGCTAATCACCGCCGAGGAAGGGCCGTCCCTAATTCCGCTGTGAGATTCCCCCCCAGGGGTACGAGCAAGGGGGTCAGCGGCAGCTCCCGGGCGTCCCAAAAATGTGTGCGGGGGGACGTCCAGGGGGACCGGTCTCACCGGCAGAGCCTCCCCGACCTGCGCCCCAGCAGGTGCGGTGGATTCTCTCATCAATTGTTCCACCATCTGCTCCAATTTGCGGATGCGTGTCTCCGAGTCGCGGCGCAGGGCTTCCGATTCTGCGAGGCGGGATTCAAGGGACGTGATGACGGCGGCGGCCTGGAGCGGGTGCGGCGAATGCGTCGGCGGGGACTTAGGCGGATTCGCGCGCGAGGGGTCTTCGCGGACGGGGGCGGTGGTGTCTCGCGACGTGTCGGTGGGTTCGGCCATGGCGAGTTCGCGGCGTAGCGGTTGGCGGTTGTGGGGAGAACGGATGCGAGCTCGAGAAGGATGGAAGAAGGGGTACGAAGGGATGACGCGTTCGTCGTCGGACTCAGTGAATGAGGTGGCGAATGACCACGACGCGTCAGCGGGGGATGAGTTCGGCAACGGGGAGGAAGCTGACGACTCAGGGGTAGTGGACGATTGCTCGTCCAGGATGCAGGATAGAGCAAGGGCAAGCGAGATCGAAGGTTGGCGGTGCCGGACTTGAAAAAAGTGGCAGGCAACGTCCTCTTCAGAAGACGTTGACTACACGCGGAGGAGGGGATCAGGCCGAAGGAAGGTCGACTGGGCGGGGGCAGGCGACCGAGGGACAACCGAGGAGGGGACGCGGTTGTGAGGCTCGCAGCAAGTCAAGTATATCGGACTTTATTGCCAACGAGATCGAAAACGAAGGATGAAGGTGAAGGGATCTTGGGAGATGTAGCGGACCAGGCTGAGTGGGAAGGTGCTAAAAACAAAAGGGAGGCACTCAGGCGCAGAGGGGACTTAGCCAATTCAGCTACTCCAAGAGGTCGCCTCAGGGGGAAAAAGGATTGCTCGCGGGAGCACCGGTAAAAACCCTGAGGCCGCGCCTCAGCTAACAAAAAGAACAAAAACCGAGAGAAGATTGCGCTCTGCGCGCCTTGAACCCGCGACCATTAAGTGCGCGCCCGCGCGCCGAACGACTACGCCATCACACCCACAATGCTTGAATGGAGGGAAGCATTTGGTGACCTCAACTCTACCTGCACATTACCTCAGGGACTTCCTTCGAGTGTTGCTGTCAGTGTATCGCTGTTTGCCTGACATGGTCTGTCTCGGACGTCCCTCGTGCGGAAGCGTTTGCTCGGATCCGACAATTACGGAACCTCGACGTGACAGATGCGATCATTGGAGCACGCCTCAACCAGTCCCATCAGGCCAACAAGCATCGACGCCCAGACGACCCCGCCTTTCGGACCGGCAGTTACGTCTATCTTTCGACAAAGAACCTGGCAGTTCCTGACGGCATGAAGTCGAAGTTGTTGCCGCGCTACATCGGCCCCTTCCGTATCCGAGCGGCCATCCCTGCGACGTCCAGCTACGACCTCGAGCTCCCTCCAGCGATGTCGCGAGTGCACAATCGTTTCCATGCTCGACTGCTTCGGCCTTGCGTTGAGAATGATGCTGAAAGGTTTCCTGGGCGTGACCCCGCAGTTCTTTTTGTCGAAGACGTAGCCGACGCGGCCGACAATTCTGCGATTCCGGAACGGATTGTTCGCGATCGGCGGAACGCTCGGGGCGCTCGTTCGTTCTTGGTTCGATGGGTAGGCCGTAACGACACTGACGATACTTGGATGTCAGAGCAGTCCATTCGCCTTGACCATCCGTCCGTCCTCGACGCCTACCTCGCGCGCCTCGATCGCTCGAACCGCCGCCTCGCCGCACGGTAGACTTCCTTCTGGGGGGGACAGTGTCAGGATGACAGCGTGTACTCGAAGGAAGCCCCCCCAAGACTATGTGCGGGTAGAGTTGACTTGACCAGAGACTTGCCTCGTTTCACAGCATCGTCGGTGCGATGGCGTAGTCGTGAGGCGCGCGGGCGCGCACTCGGTGGTCGCGGGTTCGAGGCGCCCAGACCGCAGTCTTCTTTCGGTTTGTTTTATCTTTTTGTTAACCGAGGCGCGGCTTCAGGGTTTTTACCGGTGCTCCCGCGAGCAATCCTTTTTACCCCTGAGGCGACCTCTTGGAGTGGTTGATTTGGCTAAGTCCCCTCTGGGCCTGGCACAGTCCCTTCCCTTTAGTTTTACCACCTTTCCCCGGGAGCTTGGTCCGCTCTTCTCTTTTGTTGCCCCTCCTCTTCTTGTCGATCGTTTGGGAATTAAGTCCGTTACACTTGATTTCCTGCGAGCCTTTCGACCGACTCCCCTCCTCGGTTGCTCCCTTGTCGACTGCCGCCGCAACAGCCGACACTTCCAGAAATCCCCCCCCGTACCAACGCGTGTAGACGACGTCATCCCCTCCGACGTCGCTTGTCAGGCTGGACAATGACGACGACAGCGACGCCACAGCAACCGCCGCCACCGCTTCCCGCGAATCGACGCCGCATGAACCAACCCCACCTCTGTCACCCGAAACTCTCGCCAAGTCGCTACGCGAGGGGGAGGAGTGGGACAGGATCAGAGCTAACTGGGTTGAGCAGGCACGACTTGAGCGGGACCAAAGCATCGAGAGGAGGCTCAACGCTGAAACCCCTTTGGTGCGTCACAACTTTGCCACGTGGGACGAGGACGGTGAGATACGCTCCATCAACATCAGGGGGACCGCTGCGAAGTTCAAGAAGCAGGTGATGAAGAGGTCGCAGACTGCGGCGGACCTGTGAGGAATCCACTCTCCGCTCGGCTCAGGACTTAGGCGCGCGGAGCGAACCGGGCGCGGACTTAGGCGCGCGGAGTGAGCCGGGCGCCCCGGCCCAGGACTTAGGCGCGCGAAGCGAGCCTGGGACTTAGGCGCGCGGAGCGAGCCTGGGCCATTGGCTCAGCCCCAGGCTCGCTGGCTGTGGACTTGGGGCGCGCGGGTCTCTTATTGTTAGCTTCCTATTCATCACTCTTGGCTATAACTACATCGCTGACGTAGTAGAGTTGATCGAATAGGTATGTTGAAATGCATTTATCACTCTTGGCTATAACTACATCGCTGACGTAGTAGAGTTGATCGAATAGGTTATAAGCCCACGAGCTACCAGCCCCGCCGCTTGAGGCTTTTTCGCTCGAGCCCAGCCACTCGAGCCGCACACGTCCATCGCACCATCACATCATGGACAGCTCTCCCGCCTCGCCTTTGGCCCCCAGGGATCCCAGCTCCCCTGAATCTTCGATCGGCGAACAAATCGCCACTCTACAGGCCCAGCTTGCCGCTCTGCAGGCCTCGCAACCCGCCGCCGCCGCAGCCGCCGCACCCCCGGCCGTCACCGTCGTGCCGGGGAACGCCGCCACCGCATCCAAGGTCGTGTTTCCCAAGCACGCTCGTCTGGACGGCCCCAAGTCGTTCACCAACTGGTTGCGTCAACTCCGTCTTGCACTCCCGAACCAGGTTCGTGGTTACGTTCTCGACGGTGTCGTTCCCCCGACCTGGACCGCCGACCAGCTTGCCGCACGTGACGACGCCGCCCGGGAAATCATCGTTGGCTCTATCGACTCCGCCGACGTATCGGCCACCCTCGACGCCATCCCCAGCGACGACCTGTCGGCACCGCGCATCTTTGCCGCTCTCAAGGCTCGTTTTGCACCGGACGACGCTACACGCACTCTCGAGTTGTTCGCTCGCCTTTGGGACTTCAGGAAGATGCCTGCCTCCGTCGAGGCCTACGACACTTGGCTACGCGAGTACATGTCGATTGCTCAGGAAATACGCGACGCCAAAACATCGCTCAACGACGTGCTCGCCACCCACGTGCTCGCCATGGTCCCGTCTTGCCTCGACAGCTTCCGACTCACGTTCACGGACGAGCAGCGAAACCGACGCGACCTTCCCGAACTCACGACGCTTACGGACCGCATTCGCATCCAGCTTCGTTCGGCAGGACTCTCGACCTCGCATTCGGCCATGCTTGCCACCAGCTCCCCCTGCCCCGCCTGCCGCGCTCCCGGTCACCGCCTGCGCGACTGCACTTCACGTGCGAAGCACCCGCCCACCGGCCCCTGCCGCCGATGCCACAAGAAAGGTCACTGGGCACTCGACTGCAAGAACCGGGGTGAACAGGCACGTAGCAGCGACGACACCCAGGACGACACGTCTTCCTCCGCGGCCTCGCAACCGAACGTCGGCTATTTCGCCTCCTGCCTCTTCGCTCGTCGCCAACTCCCAACTGACGCCTTTGTAGTCGATTCGGGTGCCACGACACACATGGTCGCCGACCGATCTCTATTCACGACTTATCGTCAGACGGCACACACCAAGATCGGCGGCATCGCGGGCGGCATCACGGCTATCGGCATGGGGGACGTGGCATTCGTCGCCAAGACTGGACACCCGATCACGCTCCGTGGTGTTCTTCACACGCCTGGCCTACACGTCAACCTCCTCTCTGTCTCTCGCCTCTGCGACACCGACCGCGTTCGTCTCGCCTTCACCAGCGACGGCATCGACATCGCCAAGGACGGCCGGGCCATTGCTCACGGTACCAGGGTCAACGACGGTCTTTACCTTTTGGACGCGGATCACACCAAGTGTCAGCATCTTGCCTTCCTCTCACGCTCTGAGTCTCCCGTGCCCCTGCTTACCCTACACCGCTGCCTCGGCCATCTTGCCCCATCCTCTATACAGAAGATGATTGCTGCAGGTTTGCTGGACGGGTTTGGGGCCGGGTACAGTGACAAAGACGTAGAGGAGTTTGTTTGCAATGCTTGCCTTGGTTCCAAAGGTCACCGCCTTCCCTTTCCCGACTCTGAGTCGCATTCCGCCGAGAGACTTGGCCTCGTGCACAGCGACGTCCTGTCGTTCCCCACTCCGTCCTTGACCGGGAAGCGCTACCTTGTCACGTTTCTAGACGACCACTCTCGCAAACTCTGGGCATATGCGATCGATCACAAAAGCGATGTTTTCCCGACCTTCCAGACTTGGCTCGCCGAAGTGGAGTTAGAGACGAACGCGCGGTTGAGGATCCTTCGAACCGACAATGGCGGGGAGTACCGATCAAACGCATTCACGGAGTTCTGCAAATCCAAGGGCATTCGTCGTCAATACTCTATCCCTTACACGCCTCAACAAAACGGTCGCGCCGAACGTGTCAACCTCTCCATCGTCGAGGGCGTCCTCGCTCTCCTTGCGGACGCCCGTCTGCCGGCCACCTTTTGGGATGAAGCGGCTGCGTATTTCGTTTATTGCAAAAACAGGTGCTCACACTCAGCTTTGGCCAAACAGACTCCAGAATCCGTTTGGAACGGCCAACGCACCACCGCCACCGCCCTCCACCCGTTCGGCTGCACAGCCTGGCTCACGGTCGCCCCGGACCTTCGCAGCAAGCTCGACCCCAAGGCCGCGCGCGTGATCTTCACAGGTTACGACCTCGCCTCCAAAGCTTTCCGTTTCTTTGACCATTCCATCAACAAGATTGTACTTGGTCGCAATGCCACCTTCCTCGACGACGACTTCCCCGGCCTGCCAGTCACCACGCCCGTCGATGCAGACGACACCGACCGTCAGTTCGTCGTTCCCGCCGACACGCCCGCCCCTGCCGTCAAGACGAGGACCCCACTAGTAAGGTCGGCGCACATGGACGTCTCATCCTCCCTTGATGATTCTGCCATGAGCGCCGTTGACGTGGCCCCAGGGTACACTGGCGGAACCTTACTTAATTCCACAGATACCGAATCGTCCTCGTCACCGTCTCCTGAGCCGTCCTCGTCACCGTCGCCCACAAACCCTTTGTCACCGTCGCCTGCGCTGTCACCGTCGTTGGCAGCGTCATCGTCACCCTCGGTCTCACCGACCGACTCTGACTACTCCGCCGACCCTCTGGACCTCATCGGCTCACAGACCCCGACTCGCCTTGGCCCACCGGACGTGCACCGCCCAGACTTCAGCACGTACCGTGAGCCCGCATCGGCTGAGGAGTCGCCCGACGAACTCGACATCATTGGGCGTCACTCGCGCGATGAATCGCCGGATGAAATCGATTTCCTCACCCAACACCACCGCGCCTTCATCGCCACAGACGACGACGACCCCACCCTCGACGCCATCGAGCCCGTCAAATCGATCACTAGCGACCCCCAGACCTGGCGCGAAGCAATGTCCAGCGACGAGCACAACATCTGGGCTGAGGCCGCCGCCGCCGAGTTCACCGCCATGCGCGACGACTTCAAGGTGTTCACCATCGAGCCTCGCTCATCTGTACCGCCGGGCGCCACCATCGTCACCTCCAAATTCGTCTGGAAGACCAAGCGCAACGCAAGCGGTGAAGTCACGGGGCGGAAGGCACGTCTTGTAGCGCAGGGTAACCGACAGCGCGACGGCATCGACTTCTCAGAAACCTTCGCACCCGTCGCCCGTTTCTCCTCCATTCGCTGCCTCCTGGCTCTTGCCGCTGCCAATGGCTACCACGTTCATCAGGCCGACATCGACAAGGCTTACCTCCACGGCGAGCTCGATCATGATATCTGGATGACGACACCACGCGGTTTCGACTTCCCGAGCGATAAGGTTCTCCGGCTGCGACGCTCAATCTACGGTCTCAAGCAGGCCGGTCGCATCTGGAATCGTCACATTGACACATCACTCAGGAATCTGGGGTACAAGGCAACAGGCACTGATCACTGCATTTACTCTCGCATTGACGATCAGCAGCGGCCTCACTATATCGCCTTGTATGTCGACGACCTCCTCATTGTCAGTCCAGCCCTCGACGAGATCGAACGTGTCATCTCCGGCCTTGAACAGCGGTACGGCGTATGAAGGAACAATATACCACTGCACCAAAAGGCGAGGCACCTCTACTTCAGTGAGCGCATATTGTCCTAGAAGTGAGATGGAGCGAAGTTCAACACCCCCCTGTGCGCGAAGCTGAAGAGCTTGTGGCAGTGGGTGCGGCTTGTGAGGCAACTGGGCATGTTGATCAGGTCGCTTGGGCAAGTGCAGCTTGGGCACTGTGAGCACTGTCGATGCGCCAGGGTGCTTGGCACGCCGCTGGGCAAGTGCGGGGGCCGGGACGCTGAGTGTATGCGCGCAAAATTGCCTGACCCCAGGGGGGATTGAACTCATGACCTGCTGGTTGCTCTGGGCTCATAACCTATGAAGGAACAATATACCACTGCACCAAAAGGCGAGGCACCTCTACTTCAGTGAGCGCATATTGTCCTAGAAGTGAGATGGAGCGAAGTTCAACACGGCGTCAAACGACTCGGCCCCGCGGAGTACATCCTCGGAATCCAAATACGCCGCCTGGACGACGGTTCCATTGCTCTATCCCAGGAGCGCTACATCATGGACGTGCTGGCCCGTTTCCACTTCGACACCACGACACGCGGCACTACGGTGCCGATGACGCCCGGCCTCTCGCTCACGGCAATTCCGGGTCAGGGAACGGAGCGCATTCGTTCGTGGTACCTACAGGCCATCGGCTCCCTCCTCTACATCTCCCTTGGCACTCGACCCGACATTGCCTTCGCCGTCTCGTACCTGTCCCGGTTCGCCAACAACCCCGGCCGCCGCCATTGGATTGCCGTCAAACACGTCCTTCGCTACCTTCGCGCCACGTACCGCGATGAGCTTCTCTATGCCCGCGGCCCAGCAAAAGTCACGGGTGTGGTTGGTTATTCTGATGCGAACTGGGGCGCCTGCGTCGACACATCCATTTCAACGATGGGCTACGTATTTTACTTGGCAGGCGCCGCTGTCTCTTGGTCGTCGAAGCGTCAGACTCGGGTAGCGGATTCCACCACTGATGCCGAGTACCTGGCCTTGTCGCACGCGGGTAAGGAAGCGATCTACCTTAACCAACTCCTCTCCGAGCTCCACGTTTGCCCAATCGCTGCAGCTCACATCTTCACCGACAACGAGGCCGCGGCCGCCGTCGCTCACGACCCCGTTCGCACCTCCGGCACCCGGCACATTCGCCTCCGCGAGCATTTTGTCCGTGACATGGTCAATCGAGGTGATATCTCTCTCTCACACGTTGGCACAGCAGACATGGTTGCGGACGTATTCACCAAAGCGCTAGGCCCCAAGATTTTTGGTACACATTGCTATGCTCTAGGCCTCCGGACGCGACATCCACGGCTCAAGTCTACCTCGCGTTCGCGTGGGGGGGGGTGTGAGGAATCCACTCTCCGCTCGGCTCAGGACTTAGGCGCGCGGAGCGAACCGGGCGCGGACTTAGGCGCGCGGAGTGAGCCGGGCGCCCCGGCCCAGGACTTAGGCGCGCGAAGCGAGCCTGGGACTTAGGCGCGCGGAGCGAGCCTGGGCCATTGGCTCAGCCCCAGGCTCGCTGGCTGTGGACTTGGGGCGCGCGGGTCTCTTATTGTTAGCTTCCTATTCATCACTCTTGGCTATAACTACATCGCTGACGTAGTAGAGTTGATCGAATAGGTATGTTGAAATGCATTTATCACTCTTGGCTATAACTACATCGCTGACGTAGTAGAGTTGATCGAATAGGACCTCAGTGACCCAAGTGACGAACCGACCGACGCCAAGCGAGTCATCATCAAAGGGAAGAGCCGCGTCGTGGTGAAGGATGGAATAGAGGGGCGGAGGGTGACGAGGTCGATGTCGGCGGCAGCGGCGATGCAGGTCGAGGTGACGAAGGTGGACAGAGGGAAAGGAAGAGGGTAGCTGAGGAAAAACGATGGTCCGACCACGAGCCCGAGGACGATGTCCTGCCCGCCCTTCCCCTCTTTGAGGATGTCACCACCGCCAAGAGCGCCTCGACCTCGACTACCCATTAATGATCAAGCACACCATCATCACCTGGAACGTAAGAAGGGGCATGGGGGTCCCGGAAAAACGATGTAATATCTACACCTACCTTTCCACATTCAAAGCTTCCGCAATTCTCTTACAAGAGCATTTCATCAGACCACAATTCTGGCAGCTCATCAAGGACGAGTACGAGGGCAAGCTCTTCATCAACCAGCACTGCCTGACCCTGATCCCGGCCGACTCGCCCCTGATCGACGCCGAGCTCTTGCGCACCCACTCGGCACTCGACGGCCGGCTCCTCGTCACCTCCTTTCGTCTGCGGGGCGACATCAAAATTCTAGAAATCAATAACCTCTACGCGCCCGTTGACCCAAAACAACGAGCAAAATTCTTCGACAAACTGATCCTCCACAAAACACAGAAATCCCACCTCCGACTCCTTGGCGGCGATCTCAACGACTGCCCGCGCCCAGAAGTTGATCGGCGGAACCAAAGTCGGCGCGGCCACCACTGGCCGATTCTGATGGGCAAGCTCGACTCGGCCTACACGGACTGCATCCGCTACAAGCACCCCATCACCCCATCTTTCACTCGACCTAATCCCAATCGCAAGCGACCCAACTCCTTCTCCCGGCTTGACTACTTTCTCCTACAAAGAGCTCACCAAAAAAGGCTCGACCAGGCCTCGACGATCTACGACTATCCCAAGGATCTTTCCGATCACCGACCGGTCTTGATCGTACTAGCTCTCTCAGACGATCTTGATGCGGCTCTCCCACAGCTCAGCCTACCTACCACATCCGACCAACTACATCGAATCAATACCACAACCTTCAAGACGGTGGAATTTCAGCGGATGATGGAAGGATGGTTGGAAGGGGCAAGCGGGGAGGATCTGGTGCGAGAGCTTGAGGAGGTTCTGGAGGCGTGCAGGGACAGGGTGGGGAGATGGCGAGGAGGCTGCATCGGGAGCGGACGGAAACGGATGGAGTATTTGGTGGGGAGGGTGCAGGATCTGGAGGCGTTACCGGTATGGGGGGAGGCGGAAACGGCAGAATGGACAAGGACGTCCGAGGAACTCAAGCGGGCGGTCGAGGAGCGCGCGCGCCTACTCCGGATCCGAGCCCACGTCCCGAGATCGCTTCCGAGGAACGACTGTCGCGGCCGGTCCACGCCAAGCTCGCGGCGCGGAACTCGGACTCCAAGATCACAGCACTGCGCTTGGGTAACGGAGAGCTAACGCATGACATTGATGTCGCTCTTGACCACACGCAGGCGCATTTCCAGCGCCTCTACCACATCGAGCCTCGTGATCCGGAACGCGTCGACCGACTTCGGGACGAACTCCTCGTGCCGATCAGGGCGGCACGGACTTGCGACGACCCGCGCTCAGATCCGCTCTTTCTGCGCCGACTCTCGGAAGCGCAGATTGATCTCCTCCAGCAACCCATCACCGAGGACGAGGTCGTGGCCGCGATCGGGACGACGCACCCGGGGCGATCGCCGGGCCCGTCGGGCGTGCCTTACGAACTCTATCAGACCGCACCGGAGGCGTGGTCCAAGGTGCTGACCAAGGCCTACAACGCGATGATCGAGCGCGGTTCACTCTCTCCCAAGCAGGGCCAGGGACTCGTGCGCCTCATCTTCAAGCGCCACAAGAAGAATGCCGATCGCGCCGAACTCTCGTCGTATCGCCCCATCACCCTGCGCGAGTGCGATTACAAGATTTTTACCAAGGTCTACGTCGCCCGATTGAACCAAATTCTGCCCGATCTCCTCCCGCCGCAGCAGCACGGCTCGTCAAGGACCGCCGATCGGCCGACGCTGCACTACACCTTTGTCTCCTGATCGAGGAACTTGGCGCGCGCAGGACCGAGTTCCCCGCGGCCGCGCTCTTTGTTGAATTTCATTCTACTACAAGCGTTCGAACACTTCAACCTTGGGCCGCCGTTGTCAGGTCCGCCCATTTTCGCCTCGGCGCCTTTGCCTTCGCAGCCAAGCCGCCGCCCATTTCACCTCGGCGCCTTCGCCTTCGCAGCCAAGCCGTCGCCCTCCTGCCTCGCGCCGGCCTGCTCAACTCACGCCCGCGCGCCGCCGCCTCCACGCCGGGACTCTGGCCGTCTGCCCTCCAGTCTTGCTGAGCCAATGCCTCCACTTAGTCACCAGCAGCTTGCCGCCGCCGTCCTCATGTTCCATCGGCCATCAGAGTATCGCCCATGCATGACGCCGCCGTTCGCAACCTGAGTCTCGTCGCTATGGACTCCCTCGCTCACCAACACTCGACATCGTAGATAGGTTTCCCCTCGTGGCCGTTGTCCAACACGACCCTCTCAGCACCCGAATGACCCACTTGAGTTTGCCCTTGATGCTTAGCAGCGCATCCGCCCGATTTGCAGTAGATCCTTTGCGCGCCCGCTTGCTAGAACCTTGTCAGACTCGCGCTCCTTGTGCTTCCCTTCCTCTTCTCTACCGCTTCCCGACATTAGCCAGACTGCTAATCTTCGGTAGAGAACAGGTTAGTTGAAATCGTCCAGCCGCACCGCCGTCTCGTCAGACCGCGTCTGTGCCGCCTTGCGACTTCTCCCAATCGGACCGTCCGTCGCAACCGTAGCCACGTCGACGCGCCCAACAGTAGCCCCAGCGGTCGCTACACCCAGTTCCGAAAAGTTCCACGACCTACACTCTATACTCTTGTCTCTTGACCAATCATCCGCCTACGACCTCGTCGAGCATGACTGGATCTTTGCCATCTTCGACGCTCTGGCGCTCCTACCACCTTTCTTCGCGTGCTGAGGATGCTCTACTCGGGTGACTCGACCTCGGCGCGCTACATCATCAATGGGTTCCTGA